CATTTGGTTGAACTGCAGTTTTAATCTCAGCTTTATTAGATACATGTTGAATCTGCTTCAGTCCTGCTTTGGGGTCTGAACTTGTACTTTAAAAACCATCTCGCACATAGTGAAATGATCCTGATTTTATATTGGAGGGTAAAACGCATTTTCCCAGATTAAGAATGATATTCATTTATATGTATTGCTGTGGTGACGCGCCGCACAATGTTGCTAATGGGCCAAAGTTAATCTTGATAATGAGAATCAGAGCATGCACTCTTACAATGTGAGTAATGGAAACAGACTTAAATCCTTAGCAGATGCTCACTTATGTGGAGGGAAAGCGCTCACAATGAGATATTTTCTATACTGTGGTGTAATATATCTTACCAGCCTCGGAGCTTGTATGCCTCGGGGATGTCTGGGTTGACCATCAAGGTGCTGCTGAAGGACGCAGAGAGAGACCTGCCCCCGAAGTCTGACAGCTTCGCACCCTTGATCGCCACAACAGGTTGTCCAGTGCCATCAAATTTTTCAGCCTGTAAAAGTACAATGCACAAATAAATTCCATAGATTTGACAATCAACAAACCTTTAAGATGCCAATTTAAAAAAGCAATAGGAAAGAGGAGGTGTGCAGCCTTAAGAGACACAGGATAATAATGTCAACACTGGCTTGTTTGGACTTGACATTGTTAACTCATTCTTGTGAGCTATGGCAGTCCTTTCGGGACCAGAGCTATACACTAAACAAACAAAGACAACAATGCATTTGGTGTTAGAGGGAAAGAAAAGGAGAAGCAAACCAATAAGTACTTAACCATAGCAACATTTCTTTTTCTGTGTATTCACAGCAATGCCTTGTGCAAAGTAGCAGGATACAAGAGCAGATATACTATTGATTCTGTATAATAGTATATTAAAACAACAGTCCCTCCATGTCTCCCCTTGCACCATGTTTATACCCACCTCCTCTCCCCAGAGTGTGACTGTCACCACCTTCCCAGACATGTCCATCAGGTCTAAAGTGCGTTTGGAAACTTCACGGTTTGTTTTTGTGGTGAGGCGAGTCACCTCCTCAACAGACTTACACACACCAATCACATCTGAAAATATTTTAAAAGTATAAATAAAAAGGATCAGCTTCTAGTAAACAAGTAAACAACAAGTCTGGATAAATCCTACTGGTTTGTTATTTTATAACAGAAAATGTCCTGGGGAAAGATTTACCAGTAAAAATAAAGAGTCTGCCCATGTGACTGTCAGCTGCAGTGGTGAAATGAAAGTATGGTTCACACCATCTTACAAGATGGGCAAAAGGTGCCCCCTGGTGGTATGAGGCATTTATTTGAATGGTTAATTTTGAACAAATCATTATAGGACGTTACTGTTTATTTTGGACTCTTCTTAAATTAAGGGGAATTAATCCGATTTAAAAGGAAGATAATATTTCGTAATAGTTACACCTTTAAATTAACCTCTATTGTAGCAGTTCTCAATGTTTATTATTCTAATCTGATATACAACCAGGAAATATTTGATTATCTGTTCTTTTAATAAAAATCAGCATCAATTTCTTTTTGAAATGGTCCAAAGAAAGGTTTTCCAGATGCGAGTCCACTCCATACATTACTAAGAAGCTCAGGTTTGAGTTTCTTACCCACAACTGAATCCTTTTCTTTCATTTCCAATTCTCCAATAGTGACAAAGTCACACTGCACCATGGGCACATCACAGCTGTCTTCACAGGGGATGATGGTAGTCTCTCCATTAAGAGTCATCTCATAATCGTTCTTTACAGATGTGTACTGTTTGTTAGCAATCTTCAACGATGCTCTGGAGAGGTAGTAAACCTGGCACATACATTTGGATAGAGCATGTGTTAATCAGTAAAATATTTACCTGAATAAAATGGTGCAAACAAGATATGACTTCAGGGAGTGGGGAATTAACAGCAATGGCTGTGCACAAGCTGCTTACTGTGTGCTACAGTGGTGCCAGATGACTCACTGTCCCAGTGCTTTTGATTAAAGCCACTGACAGCCATTAACGAATCAGTGTGTAGCCAGTTCTGTCTTTTACAGCTAAACAGGACTAAATCACTGGGAAAGGACTCACCTTGCCAACTTCAATCAGCTCAAAGAACTTGTCCACTTCTTGGTTGAAGCCAGTGACTCTTATTTCTCCCTGCAACAAGTAAAAAAATATAATTATAGATACCATAACACTAAATACACACAATCGATGCCACTTGGAAACTAACACTCTCATCCACAATTTCCATAGAAAACAGTTTTCCATCTCCACGAGAATTGCTCCAGGTTCGAATGGTACTTTTGTTAGTAACTCGAGCGCGAATGGTCCACCTAAAAAACACAAAGAATTTTTATTAACCAGCAGGGTTAAAAAATGAAATTAAACTCAACAGGATCTCTACACTCACTTTGACTGGTACGGGTTAAGACTGGCAATGGGTACAACTTTGGAGCCGCCCCCGGGGGTGCTGGGCATGTTGAATTGAGGCTTCTTTCCCATGTCCCGATTGAAACCTCTGTTGACTAATTTTGGGAAGACAGAAATGCTGTTATTAATGGTACGCAGAAGCAAATCAGTCAAGCACGTTAAATACTTCATTTCTCATGCAGGAGAACAAATCTACTACTATAACTAAATTTACAAGAAGTCCTAAAGTGATTTTTCCAACCAGAGAATAGTAATAATAATAGTCGTTTCTCTTTCTCTTATTTTCTAGGGATGCATAAACCAGACTGTAAGCAAGATGACTCAAATTTCACAGCTGCAGAAAAGTGTGACAAACAACTTGTAGAGCCACGCCATACTTTGAGAGAAGATACTTAAAAAGTGCACACATTGATTTGTGCATCTCACCAGAATTACAGTCCAAAAGTGTCCACTTAAGACTTCATACTTGTGTCAACCTCTGTACTTCTGGTAATTACTCCCAGAGATCAAGAAGAGCACGGAGAAATGAACTGTGCAGATGAGGAAAGTGCTGGTAAGAAGTTCAACTCCCTGGTGACAGATTATAGGAGGAGAACCTGCTCTGACACACAGTGAAGACTGCAAATCCCCTCTGACAGCCTGACTCCATGTCTCTCTTGGCACAAGTTATATGAAGAGCAGGCATTGGAGCTTATGAGAAAAGGCAGAAATAGGTCTCATCTGGTGATATATTTGTATTGTGTCCAGAATGTATCTACTACAAAAACTAAAATAAGATGCTCACAAAATTTTAAATTATACAAATATTGGCATGTCTGTCAGTCTGCCCCAGGGCAGCTGTGGCTACAGTAGTAGCTTACCACCACCGGGTATGGAGTGAATGAATAATGCTCTGTAAAGCGTCTTTGAGTGTCCAAAAAGCGCTGTATAAAACTGATGCATTGTTATTATTATCATTATTATTATTTATGTCGACAGAAAGCCACGACATCTCCTGTAATTTGTAGTGAAATGCTACCATCTGCTGGTGACATGCAATAATGTCACTCACCTTCGTTGTTGTTCTGGGGTTGGAGCGGAGCACGAGGGGCTGGATTTGACTGTGGTGGCTGCTGTGCTGCTGGTTTCTGACCTATAAAAATGTGTCCATTGTAAATCAAGTAAACTTACCACAATTAGACTAGTGATAAGACAATGTTCCCCAGGAAGTACATATTAAGAATATAAGTAAAACTGGCAAAATGTTGAATTTACCTTCAGTGTAAGGAACAGGCTCCCCAATCTTCCCACCAACTTGATCCGCTGACTTTACAACCTCTATTTCTAAAATAATGACGACACGCCTGCATAAAGAAAAAGTCCATAACAGTAATAGAAAAGGAACCGTTATTGTTATTATAATACACATGCTGGCAATTGAGAACTTACCTCCCATCCTTCAGTATGTTGGTTACGTGCCTCTTGATCAGACAGATGCAGTGTGGGGCCAGCGTATTGTCCTCAGCCATGTAGTTCAGCTGGGTGCAAAGCATAAAGGCTGCAGACACAAGCACAGCAATAAAAGCAAATCAGCCAACAAAGGAAAACAAATGTCTCAAAATAACCAACTACTCAGAAACAAACTTACAGGTCATGGAGTAACGACCATCGCTCATCATGGCCCTAAAACGAGCGGGGCCACTTCCCCCGTCTATCTTGCGAATATTCTATAAACACAAAGTAAACCTTTACTAATGCTTACAAGTTTAATGTATTTAGTGAGACTGTGTATAAATAAGTACTCACCAATAACTGCAGCACAACGTCGCTAATTGGGTGCCCGTTTGCTAAAGCCTATAAAATAAAAGATAACCGTCTGTCAGACAAATCACATACATTAAAAGTTATTATTATTATTGAAAATACATATTGGAAACTTGGTGTTGCAAGTTCAACAAATCAATCATATTTTCTTAACAAAAGCAACAAACAAACTCGAACAATACAATACATCTGTTAAATAAATCGTGTATAAGAAAAAGTCTTACCTCTATTGCGCCTTCTGAGAGCTTCATTGCGTCTTTATTATTTATTTACTTTTTATAATTTCTCAGTAAACTAAAGAAAACTCGCTCTAAATGCTTGGCGATCCTACAGCTGTCTCTAGTCAGTATTCAGTGCGACTGGCGCCAACCACTTTAACAAACGCGCGAAGCTCTGCACTCACGCTTCCTGTTTCCGGTCCCGCCCACTGATCGAGGGTCAGATACCAGCAGTCCTAAACAACAAGGTGCACTTTGTCTACAGCACACACTTTGGGTAAAAGAAATCTAATACTGATCTAGGGTCAGTTCTCAGTAGCTCACCGCCAATCGATTTGACCAATCATAACGTGAGTCTGCAGCGACGCTTTCACATAAATAAAGGGTACAGGCACAAGGTACAAGGCTAAAAGGAGGATAAATGTGGAGATATTATTATAACTAGTATAAGGTTACGATTCAAGTGTCATATCATAGTAATCACGCTACAACAGCCATTTGTTTTAATACTTCAATTTAAATCATGCAATGACAGTGTAATTTTTTTACATAACATAAACCTTGACTATTTTACCAAAGCACAAAAGGATACAAATGTGTTTACAGTAAATCCACATGATTCAAACAGATTGTTTGACAGCGGCATTTATTAGAAGACACAACAACTGAACATTGTGCACACTTGGCTCATATAAAGGAAGCATATATTGAATTTTCTATCTGTCCGGATAGTAAAGTCTTGTTATGAATAATCAGATCAGATAAGGTTTTGTATTTATTTAGGTGGTACTCCAGATGTACCCAGGAAATTCTTGTCAACTGGATATCCCAACTTGTCTCCAGGATCTGCTCTCGCGATGACTGGAGCTCCAGGACTGGGGTTGTTGATGACACCCATGAAGACTGGCAGTTTGAGAACATCGTTCATGAGGGCGATGAAGAATGGGTGGATCATGTGAAATATTGGATTGGATGCCCTGGAGATGACCACATTTGTTGCAGCTGCTGCCTCTGCCCCTTCCTCATTTATTTCTATTATGGACTTATGCTGGACACTGGATACTAGCAGGGGCCCATCACATATGTCAGCCAAATTGGGATTACTAAACACATCTCCTAAACCTGTAACAAAACACAAGACTAAACAATATAAAACACTGTAACTTGGATTGTAGAAGAAATTATCAACTCTCACCCAGTTTTGTGAAAACTTCCTGTAGCTCCTGGCTGTACTCAAGCTTGAATTTGGGGATCTTCACGTTCACAGCTTTCTCGCGTGGCAGCCGCTCATAGACGTTTGATAGGTTTAATTTTGTAGCAAGAGAAGAAATGTTGACATGGCCAGATGCAGGCATGACCACAAGCAAACTCATGGAGTTTAGGAACGGGAACCGTGCTACCTGCGGATAATAATAATGTTTGGGTTTTTGGTTTTTGGATGAGTGAACAGTTAATAATTCCAAAGCATTACTGAATTACTGATACTTAGCAAGACATTATTATTACTAATTACCGGTACATTGTTATCAATACTATGCAGATATTTCTTTTGGTGAGTTATTTTAAGTTATTGCTAGTTTAGACTAATACCTTACACAATTCTTAATATACGGGCATTTACATAATTTACCTGTGCCTCTAGTTCATTGTCAATGAATGAACTCAATGAATATTTGCCAGCTTCCATCATGTCAACATCAACCATGCTGTTTTGATCCAGATAGAAGACACCTCTGGAAGTGTAACGTGGGTCGAACTGAGCTTTCCATTGTCCTGAAGACATTAAAGCAAGGTTTGAAAATATTTTTATATGCAGTAGTTATAGAGATACACTGCACAAGTTTTCTGATGAAGGGTCCGCCTGGACTGTTCCATGATATGACATTAAACATATGCATCAAGTATTTCATTATGGGTGTTTCTATTACTCAAAAATACAGTAAGTATTTCTGTGAATAGGGTTGACTCTCCACAGATCAGATTGTACTGTAGTGTAGTGACCTGCTTGGCTCCCTTGTGATAGATAGTTTTAATCTACTGTGGAACAGTATAGACAAAGCAACAACATTTCCATGGAGACATCAGGTGGCAGACCCTCCTCTAGAAATGTTACACACTGCACCTTGAAAGTGTGTCAAACCTTTAAAGTGAATTGCATTGATGAGCATAAGAAGCATGTTTGGTGGTAAAGCCTTGAGGAAGTTGTTCATCTTTCCATTTGTGGCTTTGTCCACCCAATCATTTATCTGCTCAAGACTCTCCACAACCGCTGCATCAGAGCCATAAAACTGCTGGGATTTCTCAATAAATTCTTGCTTTGGCTCAAATCCTAAATTGAATGATACAACAATTAGAATCCATATTCACTTAAGAAACATGGAACTGTTTCTCTGACCTTTGCGTAAGAAGATGCGTGTGGCCAGCTGCAGGTCGATGTTTCTGAGCTGTGATAACACATGGCGGAGGGCCTGGTGGTAGCAAGTCAGAGAGTGGTCGTGGAGGTGCTGCATGAGAAGTTCCTCTGTCTCATTGACTGCACCTGTTTTGAAGTAGCAATAACAATAGTAGCTACTAATAGTATATATGGTAATAATTGTACTTACCTAAGGCCAGTTGAGAAAGTCCTAGTGCAATGCTCAGAGGAGAGATGATTATATTTGGTTGGTCTGGTGTCGTCTCCAGGTTCTGCAATAGCTTCATGCCCAGTTTCTCAATGGCATTTGCAATTTTCCTTCTCGATGAAGGACTTTTAGACAGACATCCATCTTCGTCTACTTCCTCTGTTGTGTTTTCACTGGGCCCACTTGTTACTGTTGTTGTAATTGTGGGCACTTCTGCGGTAACTGAATTTTCATTATCTCCCTCTACTAGCTGAGAGCAGAGATTAGTTAGTTTAAAATAATTATAATTATAATAGCAGGCCAAATGTTTCTCAAATTGTAAAAGAAAAACCCTTTGCCACACAAAGAGCTTTATATCAAAGAACTACTCACTCAGACACTTCCGCACACTATCCTCTATTTTGAATACCTCCAAATGAAAGAGTAACTGAATCCAAAACTTAGGTGAATGTTTTTAGTTATTTCCCAACACTGGTGAATTAACTGTCTTGGAGAATATTTCAAATTGTATGCTTCTTCTTTTGTTTAGCCTTTTTTAAATTCTCAAGTTTATTTTGCCAAATATATTTTTGTTGTGATTATTTGAGAACCATTTGTCCAGCAAAGCCCAGTCCTTTCTATCACTGACCTCTGGGCTGTGACTCGGTACCATGGGAGCCACCGTGGAAATTGATCCATTTTCAGACACCTCAGCATTCTGCAATGTTTAAGGATTGCATAAGGTCTAATGACCACTGATCACATGATGTATACAAATTGGTAAAAGTGTGAAAAAGAAAGTAATAAATGAGTCTTACAATGGCTCCTATGCTGCAGATGAAGAATAACAGGAGTGTCAGACGAGGGTCCATGTCCAAACAAATGTTCTAAAAAGACATAAAGAACATGAAGACATAAAGGAGTCACTGTCAGTTTGTTTCATATTTTAAATTAAGGTTCTTGTCATTTTCAGTATTTTTAGTTTCTATACAAATTATCTTTTGATCATTTGGACACTTGAGACAGAACATTTTCATCAGTAGGCTACATGTTACTTAGTACAGCTAAACATAATTGGTAGGAGTACATTTTGTCAAAGTGAAAACTAAAGTTGAAAACAATCATAATCACTTCTTTAGTTTTTGATAAACCCATTCAAGTTGATCTCCAGCCTCTTATTAAGTAATAAATACATTATATACTGTTAATAATGCTGTAGTCCAATATATTGAATCTTACCTTGAATAAAAATAGAAATTTATCCACAGTTGTATCCAAAAAAGGACCCACTGCGTAGGTATGGGACAGTTCCTGAGAGTAAAAGATTGGCAATTGCTCAGCAAACAGTTAAATATCAACTTCCATTGATCGGGCCACGTTTAAGCTCTTATTTGTTTGTAAATGCAGCTACTGAGACTCCTCTGGGTTTAATGATGAAGATGACAAGGCTTTTACACATATGAGTGGGCAAGTGACATGATGACTTAAATAAATATTAGTTGGAAAAAGCTTAACTTTTAGAGAAATTCTGGAACTTTTGTGGAGAGGAGAGCTATTATGCAAGTTCAAATGTCCACAAAAAATGGTGGATGTTTCCGAACATCTATAGCTTATTTAATCAACTTTAAAAAAAATAAAATAAATAAGAAAATATTATTGAAACAATATCCCAGAAGATGATAACTGCAAATAACACAAAATTACCAATAATAAATGACAACAAATTACAAATTTAGTCTGCATCACATGACAGACAAACCGGTGTGCAAACACAACTACGAACTTTGTCCAAACTGCAACACTTAAAAAAAACAGAAAGCATGAACAGTGATGTATCTAACACATATGACAAATTTGGAACATCCAGAAACAATAGTGTGATTTCAATAAAAATGAGTAAAAGATACTGAGCCTTTAGAAATATGAGTTTTTATTGAAATTCCTTCTAACTAAATATGTTCACATAAAAGGTAAAACAAATGGGGTTGTTTTTTCATTTAGAAGCAAGTGCAATTGTTATATAGACTGAATCTTACAAACAGTATGCAAAATCATCATTGAGCCACAGCTCTGCAATTAATTATATTCAAGTAGTTGTTTATTAATAGGTAAAACATTCATTAAAAAAGACAACATAAAAACAATACTTGTGCAATAGAAAACAAGTGTGCATCTCTAACTCATTATTTGACGTTTACCTGCAAGAAGCTTTTAAGCCACAGGAATGCACTGTTGAAAATGTGATTACAATGTATTTCAAATTATAAAACATAGAAATAAACCACATTAAATAAACATTACAGGGTTAAGTTGATCTACAAATACTGCATAGTTTAATCAGTGCCTTTAAATATAGAATGTCAAGGGAAATAAATCACCAAAATTCATGTCTATTTGGTGTTATATGTATCTATTTGGAAAGTGTAAACTCTACAAAAAGAACCAGAATAGGCTCCACTTTCCTGAGCATGTTTTCTTTAATCTGCAAAAGAATGCAGTTTACTATAATACAATTTATACAGTCTGTAAGCATTAAAAGACGATTTTACGCCAGACGGTGGCAAATCTAAAACAACTCCATAGTGGTGATGACTGTCAACAGTTGTGAATTTTATAAATGTGTTTGTTTTGTTTTTTCTATTGTGCATTTAGTGAAAGTATCAATCATCCTACCTCAAACAGACAATACAATATTAAGAGAGCCAACGCAAGGTTAATGGGTGCTTCTGAATGAGCCTATGCTAAGAGGCGGATAGCTCCATTCTCAGAGCCCAAGAGCAGAAGCCTCTTTGTGGGTAGAACTGCCAGGCTGGTCAGGGTGCCACGGAAGTTCTCTGAGCTTAACTTTGTGCTGCTAATGGGGCTTAGTGAAATGTCTGCCATGGAGTACACCCCTATTTTATTAGAAACTGTTCCTGTTACAATCTCAGACCCATAAATGTCAAATGCATGGACGTGATCAGACTGTGACTTGTACTGCCGAAGAGGCTTGTTTTCCACATCTTTCCACACAGTAAGCGTGTAGTCAGTGGAGGAGCTGATGATCAGGTTTCCTTCTGCTGCCTGAAACATTAAATAAAGATGTTGATTTTATGTCCATATACAACGTTCTATGGATGACAAATGTGTATCACTAATGGATAATGCTTTTTATTTTTTCACGTTTCATTATTGAGTTTATTGTTGTTTCATTATTTTAGAGATACTCTTTGTTTTAGTGCTAATAGAACCACTGTTCGCTTTTGAATTTGTAACTTGTGTCCATGTTTGCCTAAACCTGTGCCGCTAAAACTAGCGATACAATCCTTGACCTAATTTGAGGTTAAATAAAGTTTGCTCATCCTTGCTGTGTTGACAGCAGATCGGTACATACTTCAACCTTTTCCAGTATTTGTACTACCCACCTACAAGTAACAAATACAAAAAGCACAGTTAAGATCAGGCTCAGAATGACTTATTCTACCAATTCTAATCATAATGGTGAACAGAAACTCCTGGACCACCACATGTGTATTTTATAAAGTGTGTTCACATACAAGTCCACATCTGACAGAGTTATTTTGTTACATTGTTCTTAACCCACTTACTGTATAAAAAAACAGGCTGACAGCAGCAAGGACACAACACATATCTATTGCAACTATTTTCATATGCCTTCAAGTTACCCCGGTCAGAAAACACATTTCTGGAGGATACAAAACAATGATGTATGTACACAGCATACTTGTATACCTTCATTTGAAGAATATCGCTTTCGTGAGCTGGCCAGCCCTTCAGAACGAGTCCTGTGCGTGCATCAAGCAGAACAATGAAGCCGGTTGAGAAACCTGCTGCCACAGTGCGCCCTGCTGGACTCACAGCCAGATAGCGGATGAGACCAGCATTTGCATTGTTTTGAGCCACACGGAACTCATGCTGGGGGCAAATGTACTCACTGTCAGTGTCACATGACCTTAGTATATACAAGTATCATTTGGTACAGGGCAGCAGAGAGAGTAAATATATATAGTATACCTGTAGCCCTGGTTTGCGAGGATCAATAAAACGAAGAACAGAATCTGCGCTGCCCAACACTACACTGGAGTGAGGAGCTGGCATTGTGGTGACAGATGTTATTGGGTTTTTCCCATCCACAGCTTCATAAGAACGAATAAGTTTTCCTATTTAAATACAAAATTAGTAAGGAACCAAAACACATTCAGGATTTATTTGGCAGCTTTCATGACTTACCTGTGTACTGGTCCCACAGGTGCACTGTGCCATCACAGCTCACCACCTCCTGAGAACAGTCCAGCTGCCCAACATAAAACACAGACTTCCGATGTTCTGAGTAGGTCAGTCTGGGTTCCACTTCTTGTGTGCCGTCGCCATGGTTATAGAGAGGCCACAGCTTCACTGTCTTGTCTTTACTGCCTGAGAGGAAATAGTCCTCCCCTGCCAGCGGTGCTATACATTTGGCTGTTCCTGAATGACCAAGAAAGCTCTGTAAGCGGATCTGGTGAAAGTGAAAATGATCCTGCTGGTTAAGACCAATCTCATACTGCCAATAAGCCAGCCAGTTTCCCTGAAGAGAACGGCCACTGCGTGGGAGCTCCTGCTTTAAAGCACTGTCCTCAGGGGTATGCCCAGTCATCCATGGACTGGAAAAAGAATTTGTGGCTACAGTTGTAAATGTGGAAGAAGTGGTAACGATTGGGCCAGTATTACTTGAGTGTCCCCAAGAGCTGGACAGGCTAGATGTGCCACCAAAATCTGTATCCTGAGACACCTGAATCCGGTTACCTATGAGGTGGCTGCCAAAAGTGCCTGACTCAGAATCTGGGGGGTGGAAAGAAGCTGAAGATGAAGGAAATGGACTGGGTACTTGTCTGCTAAAACTAGACGACAGAGCGACGGGCTCCACTCTGGAGGAAGTCACATTTGTGGTGTCTTGTCTGGGAGTGTAGGACTGAGACAGCTGCCACACCAGCTCATGGTTGGGAACTAGTCTCCGAATAGCAAAGTCACCTACGAAGTCAGAAATACAAGTATAAAGTTACATTTGGAACAGATTTTTAATGAAAAATTTTTACACACACCTATGAGGCAGTAGAATGGTACATAGGATGCATGGGCCATTTGTGGATTAAACACAGTCTGCAGCTCTTCCAGTACTCCCACTTCATATGTGACATTTGATTCTTCAGAGGTACAAACATCCACCACAGCCACCTCTCCTACCATTCTCTGAGAAGCACTGTCCAGCTATAGTGTATAAAACAGAAAGCCAGCAACAAGGGGAAAAATAAAAGGTTTAAATTACACACTAAAAGTATGATTTATAAAATATGTTGTCCAAAATACTTTAATGTATATTCCTTCATTTTAAGTCATCATACATTTGAATAGATACTAAAATATCTATTATATCTATATATCTAAAAACAAGAATTCATTTTCCATTGTGAAAAAAGTACATACCTGGGGCTTCAAAGAATGCAGCAGTGAGAAAACTGCAAAGAACCTCCGTAGTGTGTCAGCCATGTGTTGCTGGACCATTTCTCTCCCAATGCGCAGACAAATAAGAGCCATCAGGCTGAGTGTTTTGAGACACACAGCAGTACGAGTCTGGACTCCACTAGGAAATCTGTTAGCAGGTAACACAAAGAGTATGCAGAATACACAAATCATTCTTCTGAATCCCCTTTTGTTTATTAATTTTGCACCAAATAAATAATTTTACTGAAGCTTTGTGCTAAATATAATTACCCCATTTTAGGAGTTGTCAGTAAATCCAGTAGTGGCAAAAGAACATCTTGGTTAATCTTCATCAGCATATCCATTAAAGTGGTATCAGAGAGAAATACAATAATTTTCTGTGTAAGTGCAACAGCACCAAGCAAACTAGCCTCCTTGCGTGTGTTTAGACGCTGAGAGGAAGGAGGAGATACCTGAAATTACAAGAAATATAATGCAAATGTCATTAGAGAAAAAAAAACTTATAATAAAAATCCCAAAGTTAATATCTTACAAGGTATCCAATATAAGGCAAGTACTGATATGTGAGCACCGGCTCTCCATATAGTTGTGCAATGTAAATAAGACAATCGAGCACTGGCCCTGCAGTCTGGTCACCCACTACAGGTTTCCTCTCATACACACTGCCCATTTCCACACTCTCTGTTCTGCACTCCACATGTGGTGGTGTCACAAACTGGTGATTTTTAGGTCCTGCAATTACAGCATCATTACCAATTTATTCAATGCTATACAAATGTCACGTACAATGCTGACATTTTAAAAATCATTAATTTACCAATGTAACAATTTGTAAGCAACCGTAGTAGATTCCGAGCCACATAGCGTGAAGTCACTGTTGGCCCAAGCTTTGCAGATAGCCATCGAACTGTTTTGCAGATCGTGTCTGTAAACCAAAAGCATATTTCACTATAGTCTACATTTACATTACTTGGGTATTTAGACGTTACAACTCACCTAATAGAATTTTTTTCTCTCTCTCTTCTGATTTTTCCGATGGATCATTATCAGCCTCTTCTTCCTCCTCCACAATTTCTTTCTCACTCTGATCCAGAACCATGCCATTTACAAAGTCACCCTCCATAGTGGTGACTGTGGCTCCTGAGGCCTCTGTGCTCTCGGACACAGTTAGATCTACTGTTGAATTAGGAGGTTCATCTGGTTCATCTCTACCTTCACTGGTCTCAGTCACTTCCTCTTCCTCCATCTCTGCTCCCTCCTCACCTTCACTGGCCTGTTTGAGGTCTTGACTGCTGTCTGCAGATTTCAAACTGGCTCGATCCCTCATCGAGTCGACATCAGCCATTGATAGTTCACTTGTGCTACTTTTATCACTAAGTTTGCCTACACTCAGAGACTCTTGGTCTTGATCCTTGGCTACAGAATTTTGGTTGGGTTGTTTTCCTGTTCCACTGCTTACATAGAAGCCATTTTGAAAGTCATCTGTTAGAAATTCTTGGTCATTGAGACTAACGCCAGATGAGTAGTCCACCAGCCCACTGTCACCCACTGCTCCCCCAGCTACACTCACTCCACCCACAGGAGCTGAAACAGAGCCTGACGAAGACTCAAAGTCCTCTTCTTCCTCCTCTACATTTCCTCTCGCACTACCTTTACATGTGTCTCCACCAGAGCCCATGTTGCAGCTTTCAAAGCCAGTGAGGACCTGCAATACGTGAGGCAGTAAGCTTGACAGAAAAGCCTGAAGGCCAAGACGTACAATCAACTGCAGAATGAAACAATCTGTATAAAGGTAGAAACGCCCTCGAAGACACTGAGGATTCTCATAAATGTCGATCAGTGGCTTCATTAAATATTTATTTGCATTTCTGGGACCTAGTACTTTTGATATTGGTTCAAAAAGGTACCATGCAGCATAAATTGCTGTGGATTCTTCATGCATCAAGGTGAGAATAAATGGCAATAAAATCTCAAGACCCTCAGCTGTGATGTTCTCACCAAGCAAGGTTTCAAGTCTCTGCCAAAGATGAAAGACTACATCTCTTCCTTGTACATTACAGACAGGCTCCATTTTAGTGTGATATGAAAAAATAAAATTATGCAGAGCAGCAAAATATGGAGGAAATGGAAAAGGGCTGGTGACAGAATTCAGTAATTGCCAGGGGTTTGGAGGTGGAAGACCATCTCGAACAGCTGCATATTGGAAAAGCAGTGGTTTTGGGCAATCTTGCAGTTGATGGTTGTCCACATTAGAATGCTTTTCAATAAGAAGGAGAGTCTCAAGAGCATAATGCAATGGCAGTGGCACATCACGAAGACTAGCTGAGCATAGCTTACTGACAGCTTGAAATCTCCGTCTAAGAGGAGTGTCTGGTTTGAACCCTCTGAGTTTGAAGGAGTAAAACAGCTCAGCAATGACAATTCCAAGAGCCTGCATGTCCCTCTGGTAGAGCTGTTTATTAGAGGGCAGAGTGTCTCTCTCTGTGATGCCTTCATTTAAAGGATTTTGCACTTTGGCATGTAGACACTTAACTAGAAAATTGTTCAATTTCTCCAGCTCCTCCAGAGGTTGTAAAGGGTTGAAGCCTTCAGGAAGATTTATTTTAATTTCGTCTACATTTGTGGCACCAACATTAGCCTCAGAGTACTTTTTGATTCCTCCTTTAGCTGCCATAGAGCTACGTAGGTTTGGGCCTAGATGAGGTGGGAAATCAGTCCCTGGTGGCTGAGAGCTCTGAACTGAATGGTCTGCACTTAACTTACCAGGTGTTGTAGTAACATTTGTAACTGCCGAAGAAGAGCCAGAAGATGCTAATGAGTCAAGGGCTTCCATACCTTGTTCCAGCTCTTCATCTTTGTCAACCATAGTCCAACCACTTGACTCACATCCTGTGGTTTCTGGCACCTGTCCGTCTATTCTGTCTGTGGTTGCACCAGTGTGAGGAATGTGTAGTGAAGGCACATTTAGAGAGGCAAGGCCTAGTAGAGGAGGTTCTGCTGGGGCATACTGGAATGGGGACAGGCGAGGCGGGTGAGGTTGGTCAAATAACTGTACAACACCGAAAGTGGTCAGATTTATGTGGTTGTCGACAAGGTGAAGGCATACATTCTTGGCCTTGACAGCTTCTTTTCCTGACAATTTATAACCAAAGGTGAGGTCTATCCAATGATGCAAATGTTGAGACACTTCTCGACTCTCTAGAAGATGCCGGTGGACCTCAATAAATTCTTCATAAGACTTGCACCAAGAGGGTACATCCAGATCTGGCATGTCAGAATGAATGGATCGGAAAATAGAAGGATCTGTGTAAAACTCAGGAATACATTCATCAGGGGTCCAGCTCTGCATTCGTTCCATGCTTGCTGGATATTCATTGGGCTCCCACTGAGATCTCACATGACTGCACAACACAGATTTGGGAGTTTGTCGTGCTTTGTAAACATAATATGTTATGTCTGAAAGCACATCTGAGATGTGATGAGGAAAATGAAGATGGTCAGACTGTCCAGCATTACCAGAGGCAAGTAAGCCACTGAGGTCTCCTCCTACACCCCCGCCCCGTCCTCCATTGCCCACTGCTGCCAAAGCTTCTTTAGTCATCTCATAAGTAAAGTCCAACTGCTTGTCACCCTTGTTTAGTCTAAATTTTGATCTCCGAAGGTCACGGAATTTTCCAAATGGCACAGTAAAATCAACCACCCATGGAAGGACTGGATGGTAATTAGGATCTCCATAACGGCGACCGGCTAACCGATTAAGTTCCATCAAGTAACGAAAGTTGCTAACTTTCCCATGAACCCAGTCTAAAACCAAAGTCTTAAGCTCACCAAAGCAATCTTCACAAAGTGTTTTGTTATTTTGTACTAGTGTGCTGCTAGAAAGCAGAGTAGCATTTTTCTTATCATTGACACTGGGCTCACCCTCTTCTGTACTGAGATTTTCATAGTGAGCCAGGTTAAGTCTGACTCGGCTGCAAAGCTGCTCATCAACTGCTATATCTTGAAGAGATAATTCTCCACAGGACAAGCCAGCTGCATGGGAGGCCTGTAAGGCTATTAATATCTGGTAGATAATGAACAACACTTTTGCATGGCTGTTTGACAGCTTGGCTGGGCTGAAAGACACAATGTCATGTAAAGTATATTGAGTATAAGGTAGAATGACATAAAGCATATCAGCAGTCTCAAAAAGACACTCTGCAGGAAGAATATTTGGGCACAGGGCATCTGACTGAGACTTGGAAAAACAAGAGGATGAAAAAAGGTCTTTTTCTTTTGCTGGAGACATGGATGGTGACACTTTATCAGCTGTGATAAATGTGGTGTTGAAAAGTTTTTGCAGTGCATTGCGTATGGCATCAACAGCTGCAACATGCATCTGTTCGCAGGCCCCTGCATATGGCTGTACAAGTTTACAATGTGCCTCATACCACAGGTTTCTGAAAAATACAGTAAACAAAAAATAAACATTGAGATATGAATGTAGATAAAACTTTACATAACGTTAACATACTATTATACCACATTTAAATTGGCATTACCTGATATTATGTTGGGACACACATTGCATGGTTTTGATAAAAGAATGTTGTGAGTTGAGCTCATTTTGATTGTAACATGGATCTCTTGCTAATCTATAGTCCAGTCTGCTTTTCCGTAGGCCCTGAATGCAAACTCGAGTCCATCCAGAAGGCAATTTTGCATGACTACAGTGAAGATAAGAGCCAACTTCTGTCTCATTGCTGCTATTAAAGCGAGGACAACGGAGGACCCGTCTCTCCCTGAGACCTGTCACCCAGCGTGTAGGCACTAGAGCTGTGAGCTCTGCAGGCCTAGGTCCAGGCCCCAGTTGATGTTGGTCAATGCCCAGGTCTTTCCCCACAGCATCTATAAGCCAATCCATAGTGACTGGTGCAGGTAACAGACACTCTGCAAGTCTTGTTCCATTCACAGCTTCATTTGGAGCTGACGACACGCTCTTAAAGCAACACTCTCCGCCAGCTCTAGAACAAGAAATTAAAAATACAGTTTTTAATATGATAAGTTGAGAATCAGTCTTTGTGTGGTAGTAAAGTGTTAGAGCTGTTTTATATATTTATTTATTTACTTATTTATTTATTTTAATATATTGTAATATATTTAATAAAAACGTATTGAAATAAATGCGTAAAGATCTGTAATCACTCTTGTTGCTTGCTTCCTACTAGTATTCCTAGTATTGCATTGCATATTTTTTTTCCTAAAGAAATAGTACCCTACCTATTCTATGAAATTCATCATATCAACTCGCCGATTTGCACACGTAACCGGGTTGTGCTGCTCAAATAAATAATTGTTAAATGGCCTGATTAAATTACACTTTTGTCGTGTTGGAAAAGTGTTAGCATAAACGGCTACCGCTACGGAAATCAAGCAGCAAACTAATATGAACACTGCAATAATCATTTGAATAGTTCACAAAGACTGAAACTCCAAACATATAACGACACTACCTTTATAAAACAAAGGATGAAATTGACTTACCGTTTGTCAAACTTGTAGCAAGCTGAATTTAGCACTGAGCTAACAATGCCCTGCTAATTTAAAGCACTGTTTTAAGTCAATCTGTCACAGGATTGTTCTCTATGACTTCGGAACACGGCGTGTAACACTATATATGACCTTCATTTTGTATCTGAACAGCATATGTCAGATAAAACTCCACTCTGGTGTTTTGTTGTGCGCTTCACGGAGCCATGTTTTCAGAAAGCATAACTCACGTGATAGCGCTCCAGTATCATGTGACTGACGGACTGGACTAGATCTGGATACTCTTTTTTCGGTCTATACAGTCTATGGTCTACTGTAGGCCTAAATGTGATTGATGGCTTTTATAATGGCCTATATGATGTTTATTTTGTTGTTGTTTTTATTGTTGTTTAGTTGTTGATTTCTTATAACATATCTTCTCTCAGCGACGAATTTCCGTCTGTTTTTCTACTAAACTCCAGTAGATGTCGTCCTTGTATTTCTCTTTAGTACTATGTTGGGCTACCTAGGTTATTAAATCCACAAATGTATGCATATAGGCTTGTGTTTTTGTTTTTGCTTGTGTTTGAGTACACAATTCTCCTAATTATTTTTTACAATGTACAATGAACATTTATTATTATAAATACGTAACAAAAAAGCATCGTAGGCCTATAGCCTATAGATAAAGTATACTATATAGTAACAATATTCTCAAACTGAGCTTTTGGTATAACTGAACATGCTGTAAGTGACCTAAATGTTAAAGTGTATCCATTTCTTTTCACACACACTGAAAAGAAAAGAATCATTTATTTTAATAGTAACAAAAAAATCCACCTGAACATAAAAACTGATAGCCAGTAAATAGGCCTAAAATAATTCTACTTTCTAGGCCTACATGCCTATTTACGCAAAATTTAAAAAAGGTTTTTAATTGTCAAAAGTAGCCTCATTATCAGATGCTTGCAGACACGCAAAGTGCTTTTTGCTCAAGAGCCCAGGCATGTCCAGCCTTTATGCGATTCGTCCCCACACTTGCATGCCCCCGCCTTTCTCCATCGCGCCTCAAAAGCGGGATCCATGGAGTAAAAGCGCCTGTATCTTTGTGACTGTTGAGTATGGCTATCCTCAAATATGTGCGTTCAATTAAGGACCCGCTTATCCTTTTCCTAACTCCGGTGGTGATTCTTCCTTTGCCATTGGTGATCGGGACACCGGTATGTAATGTAGCCTACAACATCAGGGCGAATATATTTTTTTATTGCTGATGAATGTTTTTTTTCACTGAGTTCTCGGCAGATGATGGTGATTTAACATGTAGACTGCATAGACAATGTTTGTAAAGATGACTTGCTTCAGAATTATCTGCGCCTATGGTGAATAAGTTTAGTAAAGCGGGTTGCACCTGTTGCACTAGACCCCTGGGATCTTCTGCAGTCTGGGGCCGGTGCGGCCCTCACTGTTGTTTTAACGCGCTGTTGTTAACATTAAGGGTCAGGGCCAGCGTGGGAACCCACTGCTCTATACCCAACTTGACTTTTTCAGACACAGGCACACTTACTGCTGTCATGTTACTATAGACAAAAAAAGATCGGAAATGGTACGCAATACCATTTTTCTGGATACAGATCTAGACTGTTGATAATCATTTACTTTACTTACATCCTTTAAACTCAAGCTGTTTGGGCTCATTGTGCACCTGAAGACAGCACCTGTTCATCTTTATCCTTTAAACCATCATAATGCATTCTTCCAGGTGCCCAATGTTTTCTCAAACTACATGTTTATGTATGTATAACAGCAGCACACATATGTGTATGTGTTTCTGTCTAGGAGGCAGAATGTGCCTATGTGATTGTGCTGATGGCAGTGTACTGGTGCTCAGAGGTGCTGCCCCTGGCTATTACTGCTCTGCTGCCAGCTTTCCTCTTTCCTCTATTTGGGATCATGAAGTCAAAAGATGTGAGTGTTCTGAACTGTTTAGCTACTGCATATTCAGATTTGCTAACACACTATGTGTGGGCAGGTATGTATGCAATACCTGAAGGACACAAACCTGTTGTTTGTGGGGGGGCTGTTGGTGGCAGTGGCGGTTGAGCACTGGAATCTACACAAACGCATCGCTCTAAGAGTCCTCCTCTTTGTAGGTGTTCGACCAGCACTGTAAGTTACTGTTACTTAACGATAAACTGATAACCATTATAATCTGATAAAAATGAGAGCTGATAAGATTTTATTACAAGTACAAGATTGTACTGTAAAGATAATACTGAAAAATCACCATTGAAACTCTTGTCATGTGCCAGTTTGATGTTAGGTTTTATGGGAGTCACAGCCTTCCTGTCCATGTGGATCAGTAACACGGCAACCACAGCCATGATGGTGCCTATTGTCCAAGCTGTGTTGGAACAGCTCAACAATAATGAAGCAGATATTCCTCATATCCTAAGCTCTGAGCAGCAGCTCCAGACATCGGATACTGACAACAAACAGCAGGCTGAGAAACAGAATGAGACACAAGGTGGATCTTGGTTGCCTTTTTACAGTTTATTTAATCTCTAGGAACAAATATAAGTATAAGTGCCCCCTGTTTATAGGTCCTGTTATTGTAACATTCCTGGATGCTGAGGCAGAAGCAGCAAAGCAGAAGGAGGCTGCTGAGAGAAGAAGGATGTGCAAAGGGATGACTCTGTGTGTGTGTTACTCTGCCAGCATCGGGGGCACAGCCACTCTGACTGGGACTGGTCCAAACCTCGTGCTCAAGGGCCAGATGAACCAGTAGGTCTCTGTTATGTTTACATTTTTCATTTGTTATGCTTTTGTTTATTTATTTTTGTTTTGTTTTCAGATTATTTCCTAATAATGGAGATGTGATCAACTTTGCCTCTTGGTTTGGTTTTGCATTCCCTAACATGATTCTCATGCTTGCACTGGCCTGGCTGTGGTTACAGTTTGTCTTCATGGGTTTTAAGTAAGTTTAGTGGTTTCAAAGGTAATTGCAGTTGAAAGGAGTAGACTTTAACCTCTGCAGTGTATCATAAAAATGTGTTTGTGAATTCACAGCTTCAAGAAGACCTGGGGTTGTGGTGCTGTGAAGACAGAAAAAGAAATAGCTGCCTACAACGTGATCCGAGAGGAGCACCGGGCTCTGGGGCCTATGTCGTTTGGAGAGATCAGTGTTCTGGGTCTCTTCATTCTACTGGTGGTGCTGTGGTTCACCAGGGACCCAGGTTTTGTCAGTGGATGGGCAACAGATATCTTCAACTCTAAAGCAGAGTGTGTACACAAAGTTATTCATCGTCTTTGATCTTACAAACTCCTTAATATTCTGTATCACTGTTAGGTATGTGACAGATGCCACAGTGGCCATTTTCATTGCGATACTTCTTTTTGTTCTTCCATCCAAGCCCCCAAGCTTTTGTTCATGGAGGCATGACAGTGAGCAAAGTGAGCAACAGTATTAGAAGTAGTTTATGTGAAATGTTAGAATAATTTTACATACATATGTTGGATTCATAGTGCTGAAAACTCCACCACTTTTGACTTGGAAAGTGGCCCAGAAGAAGTTACCTTGGGGTATTGTCCTTCTTCTTGGAGGGGGGTTTGCACTGGCAAAGGGTAGTGAAGTAAGTGATTATACTACCTGAACCACAAGATGAATATTACAAGGGCTGTATTTGTTTTAATTAAATTACATTTCTTCAGGAATCTGGTCTCTCCAAATGGATGGGAGACCAGATGAGTCCTCTACAAAGCATTCCTTCATGGGCCATAGCTGTCATCTTGTGCCTGTTGATTGCTACCTTCACAGAGTGCACCAGTAATGTGGCCACTGCCACACTCTTCCTGCCAGTCCTGGCTTCAATGGTAAGATGTCCAGAGACAGTAACACGTGCATGGTCATCAGAGGACATATTGAAATATACAGTGAGGTGAAGCTGCATGCCTTACTTCTCTGTGTATTCTTAACCATTCTCATCCAAACTGTCTATTTCCCTCTATCTGTGGTTTCTATTCTAAATGGCCATTCAAGTTGAATGTGTTTAGTCCCCTTCCAAGGGCCCCTCCTCCCATTTGCAGTCTGCCAAACACACCATTTCACCCCAGTGGCATGTACTGTTGCCCTCCTTCCAAAAGAATGGCAGGACAGGTTTGGAATAGCGGAGTGGGGCACAAAAACATTAAAGCCTTGAAAGAATTCACAAACATTTTTAGAATGGGACTTTTAGAAGAACAGAATCCTGCGATGTAATTCTGCCACATAAAAAGTACTCACATTTTCTACAAAGACTATTTTCTTTATTTTTGAAACCATAAAATACGTTGCACTTGTAAAATCCTGGTATGGCACAGTTCCAACATTTTCACAGATCTTTTCTGTCTTGTTAGGTTTTCACATGCAGGGTTTTCCTATTTTAGATGTCATGACTCAGCCTGGAGTCTGCAGATTTTACATCTTAATTACACGCACCTAATGAGAGTTTTGCTCTGCACTGAAGAACACATGGTTGAGTTCTGACTCAGTGATTACAGTGGTCAGATGACCGCTGTAGGATTCTGTCATAAAGCTGTGTTCATCCCTGTCTTTTACTTTTGCCTTTGTTTCAGTCTCAGTCCATTGGGATGAATCCACTGTACGTCATGGTGCCATGTACTCTCAGTGCATCATTTGCTTTCATGTTGCCTGTGGCCACACCACCAAATGCCATTGTTTTCTCATATGGCTACCTCAAAGTAGCTGACATGGTGAGATTCTGTTTGTGGATTTATATTAAATGGTTATTTACTTCTACAACCATTACATTAGAGCCTGACAAAATATGACCTAACATTATATGTTTTCCATTTAGGCCAAGACTGGTATTGTAATGAATATAATTGGTATACTTTGTATAACATTGGCCATTAACAGTTGGGGCAAGGCTATGTTTAATCTGAACACTTTCCCCTCCTGGGCCAACTACACCGGGGAATGAGTCTGTTCTTCATGGAGACTTGAGTTCAGCCTCTTCAGCCCACAGCAATCACACAGTGGCCTCTGCTCATGGACAATACAGAGACAAATGTGCACTGCCTAAGGGTGCATCTGCAGGCTGATGCTCACTTCTCTTTGTCCTTGTTGTCACCGTCTGTTAGGAAAATGTGGAGGTATGAAAAGAAATAGAGTGACTGTTTGCATCTTTTACATGACTACACTGTGCAGCAAATATTTCTGTAATAGAGTATTATGAGAAGATAAATTAATATGAATACACTGAAATGTATAATTTTTAAATGCTTTGTGACATGTGACTATACTCAAAAGTCTTACATTGTTACCATGCACAATTAATTACATTGTTCACCATTCTAAACAACAGTGAATTTAAAGATGGGGCTGCTATCTTTTTGTCTCCAAGGAGATGCTCAGTATGTTCCACCGTGTGGCATTACACTTATCTATCTTGGCTGTAATGATTTTTTTTAAATCCATGCCATACTGTGGAACATTGCAGACAATGCAATAGCATCTCCGTATAAACAGCAGGTCTTCACCAGAAAAGTGCATCTAATATAATATAATTATAATTAATTATAATTAATATATTTTTTGCATTCATTCAAGAATTTGGCTGCAGCTAGTACTTATTAAACAAATGCAGCTTGCATGTATTAATTCCCAACATTTTTTTTTCACCTCATACTTGCAAACTTAATCTACCAAGAAAATTGTCCCATCTCATACTATTTATTGATCACACCACTTTTTTTCTCTACCAGTATCACCTGAACTTTGAAACTGATACAAAAACACACGTGCCTTACTACAAACACAAATCAATCATGTTTAGAGGACTTAACTGTTTTATATCTGTACAATTTCGTTTTCCATTAAAGAGAAGAATGCATAATTTTTTTGTGTACTTTATCACAAACACCCTTTATTTCTCAGTCTTGAATCTTTTTTCATCATACAAGATCTGGGGAGGGTGTGTGTGAATATAATGGTAATGTGGATTACACTGTGGGTTATCTGACAAAAAATTCCATTGTTGTGAGACTTTGATAATTCCAGACAAACATTTCCTCACAACTTTTCGATTAGTGGGGTGTTGTACATGCCTACACAGTAAGTATCATAATCTTCAAAATACAGTGTTGAAAGCCACAGTAATCCAGCAGTCAAAGGCCACACCTCATGAATGTAGTGGATGACATTGTCCACCTGGCCCAGACATTACATAAGCCAATGGTCAAGGTATATGGTCTGGTGGTGTGCTCTTGCGTCACTTCCATTATAGTCTCAAATTAGGTCATCTTTAACAGTTCAGAACAATTTAAACATATGCAATAAGCATGTTTGAATTTTACTCCAACATCTTTACTGCAGCAAACCAACACAGCTGATGGTTGGAAAACAGATCCAACTACCGACTCAGCATTTTTGGACAATTAAAATGTAAGACAGTTTAAACAAGCAGTTGGTTGCAAAGAGCGATTGAAATAACTATGATCTTGCTCCCCGCTTTTGGAAAAGGTTTATGTAATTACAGTGCCTTTTTCTTTCCTTACTGCCTTTTATCCACCCACTCATTATCCCATTGAAACACATGCCATACCTTTTACTACCGAGCATGAATACATACTGTATATTCATGACCAGGATCTTGGAAACCTGTAACCTGCCCTATGAAGTAGATTGCACTGGCTGTTTTGAAATTTCCTTTTTGCTTACTAAGTGAAACAACAGCTATTCTGCAGCGTAAGCTAGTTCATTGGCTTAATGAGTGACTTTTCAGGTAAATTTAATGTCTTCTTTGGATAATCCAGGTATATCTTAGCCAAAAACTTTTCCCTTTATCTTTCCTGTATCAGTTACGCAAGAGGACAATATACAGCCTGTGTGATAAAATCATTGCTTCCCGGTGCATAGAGACTTTAGTGTGGAAATGGTTTCGGTTAGCAATTTGAGCAGCCAATTAAGCCACAGAAAGAAGCCATCTTTAAAAGACAAAGATCCAGGGACAAGACAAAAGGCCTTTCATTCACATTGTACCACCGCCATCTATCTAGTGCTGTTCTGGCCTCACTCTGGCAGAATGGTGGGCATGTGGTGTATCACAAAGACATTCATAGTCTATAATAATTTGTGTAAATAGGTATGCATAATTTACAGGTGCAACTCTTTCTAGTTGGTAATACAGGATGTGCTCCATGGTGTTTTTAAACTCTATACACTTTCATAGAAATCATTTGAATAATTTCAGACCTGGAATTGCCAGTCTCTACAACAGGTAAAAGGTATGTACAAATACATAACATCACAGAACAGAGTGGAGCAAACATTTTGAGCTTTGGAGATGTAGACAGACTAAAACTAATAAAGGATTATATATGTGAATGAAACAAAAGACAACTTCATGAAGAGGTAACAGAATTATAACATTCTGAGTTGACTTGTGACTTGTGTGTGTTATATAGGACCTTTAACCATAGTGTTTAATTCTTTCCATTTTACTTTGTTGTATTGTCTGCATTTTGCCTTTTGACTCAAAAATAAATAAATTAAGTGTATTTGGGTTCAGTTTCTGAAGTAGCTTTTTTGCTTGGCAGGCAACACAACATGTGCCATTTATTCAGGTGTTCTAATGGAAGTACTCCAAGAGCATATGACCACAATCACTCAGGTAGTTTCACCATTTCAAAAGCAACCCTAGCATTTCCAGGTGTAATAAGAGGTATGCTGCAACACAAGTACTGTCTCTTCTTAAACCGATAATTTACCAAGACATGAAGCTGGCAAGGATCTTAGAACTGGCACAGCCTGCTGAGTCAAAGCCTATGCACAGGTATTCAAGATCACTTGGAGTTGTTAGTACCATAAAGGCATCACAGTAAAACTTCAATGATGGTCAATAAAAAGCGTTTTTAAACAGCATACTCATAAAGACTATCTGACATTTATGCTCCATGAATTACATTTAATTACATTAGGAAGCAATAGCCTTCATACAGAAATCCAAAATGGAATGTCACTACTATCACCTAATGGAACCAAACATCCGCAGTCTACCAGAGAACATCTGGACAATGTAATTATATCCTAACTTGGCAGTATTTAGGACCATATAGTTTTTCATATTTAACTTTATTTAAACTAACTTTTTCTTCAACCATGGATAGATTATAATATAAGGTATAATATTATACAACACTGGCTTCACGTCAGGTTGCAGCTGTCGACATCGTTTCAGATTAATGAGCCTACTGTAATCTTGTGAATCTTTAGGTTGTTATTAGCGACATATGCCAAATGCAATCTGAATAACCTAAACACTGTCGCCACCTGCTGGAAAAAGGCTTAATGTGGAACTAAACACTAAATCCACTTTTTTGCTACTGAACAGTGTATGGCGTTTTCATGGCATTATCTACTGTTCTAGGATATTTTGGGGCACTGTTGAGGAAAACAGCCTTTTCCTCTCGTTTCTGCTGAGATTAATTAATACACTTGAAACAGAAATAAAGTCTCATTTTGTTCTCACTGATATGACGCATCAAGGATCATATTTTTTTTTTCCCGCATTGACCTTGAAAAGACTATTAACGCTTTTATCGGCTCAAAAATAGACTATTGCGCACTATATGTGGATGTGCCCCAGTCCACCCTTGATCGCCTCCAGCTTGTGCAGAACGCTGCAGCCCCATGGACGCAGCCCGTTTTCTAACCAACACCTCCAGACGTCGGCACATCACCCCAGTCCTTTTATCACTCCACAAGCTTCCACTTTCTTTTCTTATAAAATTGATTTTAAAATTATATTCTTTGTTTTTGAAGCTCTTAATGTCCTTGCTCCTCCGTATTTTACTGAACTTCTGTCTGTTCATAGTTCATTCAGGGCCTTAAGGTCAAGTAACCGTCTTCTTCTGGAAGTCCCCAGAGCCAGTTTCAAACACACTTTCTCTGTCTCTGGCCCCAGACTCTAGAACAAACTGTCCCCTGATTTGTGCACCATCACAGACGTGGGTCTTTTTAAATCCAGGCTCAAAACTCATTTATTCAGGCTGGCTTTTAAAACTTAGCAATGCAGTGTCACTTTGTTGAGATGAAATTATTTTTAAAAAGTAGACAAATTACAAGATGTATATTCATTTTTCATTACAAAAAGATGTACCTTGAATGAGTATAACAAGTAACAAAACTGACGGATAAATCCTCTCCTTCTGAAGCATTTTTATGATTTTTAATATAATATTGAAATGTCATATCAGTGTATCAAAGGGCTAGCGACATTTAGGCTACTGCAAGATAAATAATGCTGCCACCTGCTGGAGATAACGTGGCCTAACAGAAAAGTAGTGCAAGGGGCCTTTGTAAGTTACACATAGAGCAAAACAGAAAACAGCTCTACACAACCATCACACTCCCACATGTAGCCTATATTTATTATAGATTCATTTTTTTCCACGTACAGTAACAGTGGGCCATCTGCCCTCCCCCATATCACGTAACTCGCACGTGGCTTTATAGGCTTTTATCATTTACAACTTCCGAAGGATCTGACGTACACACACACACACACACACACACACACACACACACACACACACACACACACACACACACACACACACACACACACACACACACACACACACACACACACACACACACACACACACACACACACACACACACACACACACAAGGCTCTGTTAACACGCGACATGTTGCGGCGTGAGATTGAACATCAAAATCACAGCAAACATGGCTCAAATCTCATCATCCAGTTACTGGAGGGACTGCTGCTTAATAACTCGTATTCGCGGTATTTTTCCTAATGGTTTTAAAACCGAAATAGGCGAATTGTTTAAAATGTCGGTACCTGTGGTAAGTCGCCTATGCCAAGATCTGAGATAGGACTTTGATTTCATGACAGTACCCTAATGTTTGTCTTTAATGTTTTATTTCTGTGTAGTTCCTGTCCCAAATTATGGTATTTTTTGTGAATTTTGTGAGTACCATTTTCTGTGGTCACCTGGGCAGAGTAGAGTTGGCAGCGGTGTCTTTGGCCATATCAGTAAGTAGGCTGATTTTGCCATTACGATAATAATATTTGCAACATTATGTAACTTTATTCTTCCTCAACAGGTAATTAATGTTACAGGTATATCAATAGGAGTTGGTTTGTCCTCAGCATGTGATACTCTGATTTCACAGGTTTAGGCCTATCTGATCTTTTCAATTATAAATGTTGATAAATGTATGGCAGTGTTTTTATATTGTGTGTCTGGATATAGACTTTTGGAGGTGGAAATCACTTCAGAATTGGGGTAATTCTTCAACAGGCCATACTCATTCTATTACTGGCATGTTTTCCCTGCTGGGCTATTCTAATTAATACTGAGCCCATCCTGCTGGCAGCGAGGCAGGAACCTGAGGTAGCCAGGTATGATTTTTCCCCCCCTGTTTTTTAATTTCATTTTGCACAACTACACTATGACTAGTGCCCTGATTTTGTCCTTGTTCCTCACTTTTCAGGTTGGCTCAAATGTATGTGAAGATCTTCATGCCAGCCCTTCCTGTAAGTGAATAGCCTACTGTTTTTTACATTTAAAAAGTAGTGATTCAAGATTCACGTGTGGGTGTCCTTTTAGGCAACATTTATGTTTTCCCTTCAAACAAGATATCTACAAAACCAGGTAGGCCTAATTCTATTCTTCTTGAATATTAAATAATTGGCCAATGTTTGATATAGTTTTTGGTTTATAAATGGAAAGCACAGACATGAAATAACACTAAAATACTACTTTACTGTTTAATTTTAGGGAATCATATGGCCTCAAGTTATCACTGGTTTTGTGGCCAATATCCTTAATGCTCTCATCAATTATATTGTCATCTTTGTTCTGAATCTGGGATTGATGTGAGTATGAAATTAACCAGATGGCTATACCACTGATCACTGTTACATTCCTTCTAATACCTCTTTACCTTTTTAGAGGCTCAGCTGTAGCTAGTTGTCTGTCTGAGTTTGTTATGGTTGGACTTCTATGGGTCTACATTGTCTACAAAGGTCTCCATAAGGCAACATGGGGAGGTAAGCTCAATCTAATAGCACACTGCATGGTTAAATGTATTCAATATTTTGCAGCCTTAATTTGAATGTTTTTGTACCCAGGCTGGTCCAGAGATTGCTTAAAGCATTGGAGTTCATACCTTCACTTAGCCATCCCCAGTATGGTCATGCTGTGTGTTGAATGGTGGACATATGAGATTGGAATCTTTTTAGCAGGTTTCTTCCCACTTTATAGTTTAATTATGAAATAGCATTGAACAATATCAGATTAAGCCAAACTCTTTTATTTAGGTCTAATAAGTGAAGTGGAGTTAGGAGCTCAATCAGTTGTTTACCAGCTGGCTAATATTGCATACATGGTGATTGTACAAATATGATTTTTACAGTGTTTACAAATTAGCAAAATTACATTCATTTCCATATGGTTTCTAGTTTCCCATGGGATTTAGTGTGGCTGGGAGCGTAAGAGTTGGAAATGCGCTGGGAGCAGGAAATACAGACCAAGCAAAGTTATGCACTAAAGTGACAATGTTCTGTGCAGGTAAGGCTTAAGTAAAATGCAATAGTGAACATCACTGAATACTTGTTAAAAGTTAAATGGTTGATCTAGCAACTTAGATGCTAGAGTAACATTAAGTGAAGGGTGGCATATTTTTTTCCACAGGATCAGTGTCTGTCTGCTTGGCCATGCTTATAGGAGGCCTCAAGGATCACATCTCCTATGTTTTTACATATGATGAGTGGGTATATTCGATAATTAAATTTTTTAGAAGTTACAGAGTGTATTGTCTTGATGAGGTAATTATGAAATAAATAACTACAGTACAGCATATGGACAAATAATTATAGTCAGATAATCATAGCCATTTACTGTACAAATAATATAAGTCACTTTAACTGCTATTTATTCTTGTCCATATGCTGCCCTGTTCATAGCCACCAAGTCTTATTGCGCAAAGTTTTGTATCTTTATAACTTCACTATGCTGGCAAAGTGTTGCCTACTGTAAATATAATTTTTATAATCTTGATTTTGATTGCATTTTGCTGTTGTTCTTGACCTTTGCATTGCAATTTCCTCATTGTGGGAAAAATAAGGTCTATCTTATCTTAATTACTATTACATAATTATTACAATCAAAATTCTTCTTTTTTCACCTTTTTTTTCTTGCAGACAAATTAGGGAACTTGTTTCTGATGTTATGTCCTTTTATGCTCCATTTATTCTCCTAGATGCAACCTCAGTAAGTACCTGGGTCTTTTAAGAGTAAAGTAAAAATTTCCCATCATATGTGATTTGTTTTCTTGCTTAAATGACCAGGTTGCTTGTGGGAGTATTATCCGAGGAGCAGGTAAACAAAGAATTGGTGCTGTGTGCTACTTTTTGGGCTATTATGGGATTGGGTTTCCCATTGGAGTGCCCCTCATGTTCGCAGCCAAACTAGGAATAAAAGGTAAGATTTACTATGGACTTGTTTCTGTGTTCTAGGTTGTTTGGCCTTTTTCATGCATGTCGTGCTAAAAGTGAGTCATGCAACCTCTGGTTGCTGCTATATAGCCCAGTGTAAGCTTGCGTGCTCAAATGTGTGCGAATGTGTTGTGCAGGTCTTTGGATAGGTTTGTTTATCTGCTTGTTTCTACAATGTTCATTCATGATTGTCTACATTGTTCGAATGAGTTGGGAAAAGGCAACAGCAGAGGTATTAATTGTACATTATTATAGCAGTTTTTTTATATATGTGTTTCATATATTTTGAGCATTGTCTTGCAGGCCAAGATTCGAGCTGGAGTCAGTGAAAACTCTGAAGGTATAACTAATGTTTTCTTTAAATAAAATTTTATGTATGCAGTCAAGCCATATTAGGTCATGAGTCAGATATTAACAATATCTGTAATTGTAAGGGCAGTCATGTGTGAAATGACCACTTATTGTATTGTGAATTGGTGTGTAACAACAATATGCTACAATAAGAGTACAGTGCGTACTGGCCTCTGGCCCAGGCAGGAAAAGAGATGGTAACTTCTTTCATTGCCTATGACATTGGCTTTATTATATATGTAACATAATGTTTTCCAGTTGTGCAGAGTGATGGTGCAGCAGTAGAGCAGTCAGACCTCCTGGAGCTGGTCCACACTGGGCCTTCAGCAGCAGATGAGCTTTCACACACAGCTCTGATGCTGCGCAGAGGCCTGGCCCTGGCAGGCATGCTCTTCATCCTGGCTGTGGGAATCACTACAAATCTATTAGTCCAAAATTTGATAACATGATTTATGAGTTATCGTGTTAATTGTTGGAGTAATTAAGGCATTAATCCTAGTAGTTATGTGTCTGTTTGTATCAAACAAGAGGATTATTGGTATGTCATCAAGGTTCTGACTGAAGAAACACACTAAATGTAACACCGTTATATCATCCAAAATTATGATGCAAATCAGATGAAATGTAATTATCTTTTTGTATCATTTTGAATGACTAGAGCTGAAAAATTACTAGAGTAATGTGTACTATTGGGCCAGTATAAAGAACTATTATATGCTTCTGGCAAAGGCACAATCAAATGGATGGTTATTCCTAGAGCAAAAAGTCCAGCAACAGATAAAACAGTGATTCCTCTTCGGACGATGAGCTGAGATGAGGACAGTCGACCTCCTGACCCTGCTCTCTGTCTGTCAGCACAATCAGTTGTGTGGGAATCAGGCATCTGTAATAGAAAGACACAAGATACTACACATATGTTGTAGATATTACATAAAATATTATATTACATCAAGCACTGTAACAAACCCACAGTTTGTGGTAGGCCTGTGTCATTGTTCTTATGGGCTCGTTTTAAAGCCTAAAATAAAAAAAAACATATTTTATACACAGTACATGCACTCTTATTGCAGTCATACTAGAACTTCTTAATTTACCTCCTCTGTCATTCTCTTCCAGTTTAACTTGAAAATTACAACAATAAAGAAGGTGGACTGCACAATCACACAAATTAACAGACCTAACCAATAACCTGTGGAGGGTAAACAAGGTTTGTCACCACTTCTATCTTGTGTGTAATGCTTAGTGTGAATACTTAACTCACCAAAAATCCTCATTTTTGCCACAAATATAAATGTCACACTGAGGGAGAGTCCAATGCCATAGTATCCAATGAGGTTAGCCACAGCTGGGATCATCTGTTTCCCCGAACCCACAAAGATGCCTGTGCAGACACACTGCAAAACAGTTTTCAGTGTTCACTAGTTATTCATCAGTGTATTCATTATATTATATGCAAAGGGAAAAGTCGAGCACTTACCACCAGACCATCAAAGAACTGTAAAAAACAGTACACATTCATCAAATGAGCGACCAGATCGATAATCTTTCTGAAAGACACAAAACATACTCATAGTAAAAATGTTTAATAGATTGGAGAAAGAGTCTCCAAAATACAGATTAACAGTGTCAACTGCGATGATAATTCTGATCCTCTGTTTCTAAGTTACCACTAAATCATCTGTGCCAGGAGCACCCCCAAAATGTGATCATCTTAACTTGGGTTGAACATACACTTACTTGTCAGAGGTAAAGATGTAGCCAAAGACATTTTTAGCAGAACCAAGTACAATGCCCTCCATCAAGGCAACGCTAGCTGTAATTGAAATAAATTAAAGTAAGTACATTATGCAGTCACCAAAATGTCTAAAAGTCTCAGGCCAACCTGCAAGTGTGAGAGAGATTTTACAGGTGAGAATAGCCCTAGAAGTGTCTCCTGCTCCGAGAGCATTTCCCACTCGAGCACAGGCTGCAGCTTGAATACCCAAAGGGAACTAGAAATTTGTATTTAAAAAAGATTACAATTGATAAGCAGCAATAATATAATAATAACAATAATAATGAAATAATGCTGTACCATGTATGTTATTAATGTCACCATCATAACTGCATGTTGGGCAGCCAGTTCATGCTCACTCAACATTCCTAAACATTGCATTATGAGTATTTTTATTTAATTTATTTCATAAAAATTCATGTATAAGGAAGTACCTGCAAGAAATCCTCCTATTTCATAAACCCACCACTCAAAACACTTCATCATTGTAGTGGGAATGGCCAGTTTCATGTAGGAGCCCCACTCATGCAGTGATTCCACAGACCAACCTGTAGGTGGAGCCAGACAGTAAGGCAAAACATTGTCAGAGAATTCTGATCATGATTGAATACTTACCATCCCATGTTGCTGCATAAAGCTTTTTCCATCGAATATAAGCAAATAGAAAAACACATATGTAAATCTGAGACAGAGTGTTGGACACCGCAGACCCACTGCAGACACACATGTATAGTATGTATAAGTATATTCAACATCAAGAAGTGTATAAGATCTATCTTAACTTTCTTGAATTCTCACCTTACCCCCAGACCCAGCCAGTACAGGAGGATATAGTTAGTTCCAACATTAGCAATATTTGCCATCAGTGCAGTATATAGTTGAGGCAGTGTTATACCCTGTATACAACAAAAACACTAACTACTAAAACTTACAAGTAATTTCATATCAAACTTGTCTGTTTAACAGACTTTGACAAAGGAACTCTTTACAAATGACATGTTCTGAGATTCTGTACCTGGTTCTGCAGGTAGGACACTTGAAGTTGGTGGAGAAACATTGCCTGAGGAGCAAAGACAAGTGGGACAAAAGTCAATCAAAATGAAAATAAACCAAAATTATTGGCATGCCACATGAATTTTCTATTGCATATCAATTCAGTAATCTGATACAAAAATACATTCATTTGGATACAATACTTACGGGTACAGCTGGGAGGTAGTATGTTATATACAGCTGTGCTATTCTGCAACAAGAAACCCCACACAGACATTCTTTTTCTGACAACCACTATCAGGTTTTCCCATTACACCACTTTGTATTGTACTCAATGCAGGAGACTGGATAGATTAGAATCATAATAACTATAGTGACCCTTATGCAGTTACATTTTGAAAGCAAGATACAGTGTTGAGAACCATTAAAATTAATCTCTCTTTTATTTATTTATAAATTAATTTATTTGTTCTTCTGAGAGGGCCTTGTTACCTGGCAACCCCGGGGTCCTGTCCCAGACAGAGGAGGATGGCCTCTGCGTTGATGAGCAGGGCCCAGCAGGGCAGACAGAAGAGCATCAGGATGAGAATGCCCCTCTGCAGAATCACTCCAACACGCAACAGGTTCTTACCCCCAAAAGTCTTGGAAATCGCAAATATGTCAGGAAAGAATCAAATGCATGTTACACTGTAATATATATGTCCAAACCTGAGACACCAGTGTATCACAAGCCATTGCTAGACCAAATCCTGTTGCTCCTGTAGTAACATTGATTGTCTACAAGAAAAAAGAAAACTTAAATCTATAAATGTGAATCTAAATATCAGTAGCACTTTGAATTGAATTGTTATTTGAAATACAGCACAATTACTTTTTATAATAACATAATGTTTAAAAGGTCTAGGCCATTTATAGTAAATACACACATTACACGCATTATTGTATGTACATACCGCACAAGCCAGGCCATATCCAGCCATTACCTCATTACCCAGACGCCCACAGAACATGGTCATCACAAACGGCAGAAGATAGTTGAAGATTCGAGAAACCAGCTACCATAAATTTCATTCATTAAATCATTAATAAGTGCAGTTCAGCTCACTGAAAATGTTTTTCCTATAGGCAGTATCCTTACCAGTGGCCCCGTCATTGTAATGATATGGGTCAGCTCCTCTCTATAGACCAATGCAATCCTATGGCACAAAGACTGCTCCATGTTCACTGCAAAAGACACCAGCAATGGTCTGCAGGAAAGATAAGTCTGTTTTCTAATATCAGTTTAAGCACTTGTAGGGATAGTTGTGGTAATAGGATGTAGTCACAGCTGCTTTGGAAAGCAGCCAAAACAACAAAGAGTGTGAGAGACCAGTTCAATGAAAGCAGGCCTTTCGGGTGATCCATGTTTTGATGTCATTTTTTTCTTCAAAAGAAAAATAAAACCGTTGTAAGAAAACATGACCTCACAATCAAATCATACAGAAACAGTTCTTCTGTTATTTATTGTTACACAAAAAGCCCGAATTGTACAAAAGTACATAAAAAAACTAAACATACATAATTTATCAAGATATACAAATACTGACAATGAAATATGAATATTATTACATTACACTGAAATAACAAATTATTATTTTTGTTATGTTGTATTAAGAGGATTTATGCTTGTAAGTTTCTTTTTGCAGCACATAGGAAACTGTTTGAATAGCATTTAGCAAATTCAACAATTTTTCATTTGTTATTTTGAACTCACAGTGGCATAGGATAAGGGTTAAATTTTTAACTTAATCATATTCATAATCACAGTATTTACTTCACTGTTGTTGGATTGGAAACAACAGTGTGGAGGGGTCAGTTGTGTTGACTTGGTTCAAAGTGGAGTTAATCTGTAAGGAGTGTGATTCAGGAAGAGGTACCAGGAAGTGCACAGACACACCCAGAGCCAGAATAGCCACAGCCCCCAGAGCCACGAGGCCACGTCTGAGCAGCAGCTGACCGGGGGACAGAGCACCTTTCCCCTGATGACCTATTGGTTTCACTGCCTCATCACCTTCTAGGTATGTAGCTTTGTAGCCATCTGCTGTCTAGGAGAGAAAACAACACAAATGATTTATTAATGCAACACAAAACCACATGATAACATTATTTGAACACACATTCCTGATCTTGTATTTTCAAACTGCCTGTAACTCTGTAACTCAGTAACTCAGCTCTAACATTTAGCAACATAAAATATTCATGTCCTTTAAAACCTGCAAACAAACTAATAATATAAAACATAATATGCTACTTACATTAACAGTTCTAGACGTCTGTACAGCATTGTCATTACTCGTAGTTTCTAATACAATTTTTTCATTTAATAGGGCCAGGTGAGTTGTTTTGCGTGCCCGTTTTACCGCCTGTAACAACATGATAAAATATTTGCAACTGTAAAGTCGAACAGGGCAAAGACTAAAGTCATAACTTAATTAAGATAATGTTTGAAACAAAAGGGTACCTCATCTGTTATTGTCTTCCAGTTCAGCTTAAAGATGATGATGATGACATAGAAGGTGGATTGTATACAAACACAAATTAACAGTCCCAGCCAAAACCCTATGTAGAAAAAGATACATTATAATACTTTTCTGCCAATGATTTACTGAGAAATGATTTTATCTACTAAATAAAAATGGTAATGTACTATAGTATACATTACCTAACGTCTGTAGTTTTGCTACAAACATGAGTACTATTCCCATTGAGAGTCCAATGGCATAGTATCCAATGAGGTTAGCCACAGCTGGGATCATCTGTTTCCCTGTGCCCACAAAGATGCCTGTGCACACACACTATGGACAGCAATTAATCAATAGAGAATTCCCCACATCATCACACCATGTGCAGCAAAACTAAAACTGCAACAAAACTTACCACAATGCCATCAAAAATCTGTAGGAAACAGTAGGCACTCATCAAATATGAGATCAGGCTTACTATTTTTCTGAAGGGTTTGTACAGATGAATAAACATGATGTACACAATATAATAGTAACATGAAAACTGCATTTATTGATACTTACTCATCATTGGTAAAAATGTATCCAATCACATGTTTAGTAGAGGCCAGCACAGTACCTTCAACTATGGCAAAGCTAACTGCAAAAGTGGATGAGGATAATAGCCTTAGGTTGCTTTATAACTAGAATTAACAGTAATTATAGCCGACCTGCGAGTCCAAAGGAGACTTTCACAGTTAGTTTGGCTCTAGAAGTGTTCCCTGCTCCCAGTGCATTGCCTACTCGAGCACAGGTGGCTGCTTGGATTCCCATAGGAAACTGGAAAGACTCGTGTAAAGTTATACTCATGTTGCAGTTTCAGTTATCTTCAGTAAAAACTAAATTTACCATGTATGTAATGAACGCTATCATTATGACTCCATGTTGGGCAGCCAGGTCATTTTCACTCACCATTCCTAAATGGAAGATGGAAAATTAAAATAATAGAAATAATGCAGCTGTCCCATATTTGCATGTCTGATACCTGCAAAGAACCCTCCAAACTCATAAACCCACCACTCTGCACACTTCATCACTGTACTTGCAATGGCCAGTTTCATAAAAGAACCCCACTCCTGCAGTGCCTCCATAGACCAACCTGTAGGGGGAGCCATATGATTATTTGTGATAAATAAATAAAAGGACGGTCATGCATGAAGCAGAGTCTGCAAGGGTCTCACCTCCCCATGTCTCAGTGTGTACTTTCTTCCACCGAATATAAATAAAGAGGAACCCACAGGAATAGAAATGACACATGGTGTTGGCTGCTGCAGAACCACTGTGGACAGAGAGGCCTAAATATTAGGTCATGTCTCCAACGGTATATTTCATTGTTCGCTCACCTGATGCCCAGTTCCAGCCAAAACACAAGAATGTAGTTTGTTAGTGCACTGGCTATGTTTGCAGCAACAGCTGTGAACATCTGAGGCAGGATAATAACCTGTAAAGAAGTTAAAATATTAAGTGTTAATATACTGTACAGAGCAACAAATATTACCATGATAAATTACACTTAAGTTTAAGCTTAAACTACGTGAAAATGGTTTTATCCAGTTATTTAGTTAATTGTTTGTTAAAGATTTTTGGGAAAGTGGTGCACCTGGTTCTGTAAATAGGAGACCTGCAGCTGCTGGAGAAACATGGCCTAAAAACAAAAATAGACAGTGCTCAGTTAAAGCCTAGAATTGGGGATCATGCAGGAGTCTGCACTTACTGGCACTGCTGGAATAAAGGCTGTCATATAGGTCTGGGCTATTCTGGAACCAGAGAAATGTACAGAAATGTTAAATGTGTATAAGGCAGTATTAAAATGTTCTGTGCATCAAGTACACAGGGTGATCGCTCTAATGTTGTTGTTGCCAGGAGGTGAGTTACCTGGCAACCTCGGGTTCCTGTCCCAGACAGAGGAGGATGGCCTCTGCGTTGATGAGCAGGGCCCAGCAGGGCAGACAGAAGAGCATCAGGATGAGAATGCCCCTCTGCAGAATCACTCCAACACGCAACAGGTTCTTACCCCCAAAAGTCTAGTCCAGAGACACAAGGGCTTTAGTGTGAGAAATGCACTCACATAGTATTGTGGGCTACATGTTATATATGTGACAAACCTGAGACACCAGCGTATCACAGGCCACTGCCAGACCAAACCCTGTTGAAGCTGTTGTTATATTAATGGCCTAAAAACATGATATTATTAATCAATCAATATTATTTAATTGCTTTTATTCTTTATGTACAATATAGCTTACAATTTATGTAAATGTGACATGTAATTACTTACAGCACAAGCCAGACCATAGCCAGCCATGACATTATTTCCCAAACGTCCACAGAATATAGTATTCACAAAGGGGAGCAGGTATCCAAGAATTCGAGTAATCAACTAGAATGACAAAACTCCTGTTTACTTTGAACAAGGAAGGCACCATGACTTTATAGGCCTCTACTCCATAAATGATTCAGTTTGCAGGGTGTTTTGTCTTAGTCCAAGCTCTGTATTCTTGTATGTCCAGTGTAAATGATGCTATGCGTCTTACCACTGGCACAGTCATCCTGAGGATATGGTAAAGCTCATCTCTGTAGGCCACGGGTACTCTGTGGCGCAGCCATGGGCAGCAGAAGAGCCGGTCACTGTTGAATGTCTCCATGTGTGCACGATGCTCTATCCCAGCACCTGTACTTTTAGACAGAAATGTCAATGAGTCAGCCATTTCAGAGGTAAAATGTAACATATTAATCTGTGTTTTTAGAACCCAGTCAGACAATTTGAATAAAGTTTGAAATATTTCTGCAAAACTAACAGTTTTTTGGTGTATCCCTGTTTAATTATTAAGTTTGATGTAAGATGTATTGGAGATGTTGGATGAAAGTAGGTTATGTTATTTTATAGCTTTAGGACAACCAAGCAAAAAGAGCAGACTGAAAATGTGTTAACCTCACACTGATGATGTTTTATCAAATTGGTTTCATATATAATTTTCTCAGAAAAGCTGCAGTGTATAACCTTTACCATTTAGTTTTGTACCCTAGATGTATTTCACTGAGTAAATGTTTATGTGGGTAATGGCAGGCTCTGTGGGCAGCATACTGAGTATCCGTGGCTGCTTGTGAACATGATGGCAGACAGGTGAAGGGTAAATTATGTTTATTACATTTGATAAATGCACATTTTAACCAATTGTTGACAAATAAAAATTTCCACTAGTCATGTAAAGCACTAAAATACGATCTACTAAACAGTCATTTTTACCCGTCTGTGCCCCAGTCTCAAAACGTGCTCAGCTGTTCCTCCTCTGAATATAAAGCAGAGCTGCTCATCTGCTGGAGGGAGATAGCTCCTATCGGGCATGGATGGAAACATACACTACATGATTATCTTTCTGCTATTTCTGATATTTTCAGTGTGTTCTAAATGCAGTCTATACATAAAATCCTAAAATAAAATCAGTCTTATAAAAAGGAAAAGATGCCTGTCAATTTCATTGCATATTGTTGCGTATACTATGTTCTCTTTGTGTACAATGCTATAAATTCTTTATGTTCTTTCATTGGGCAGACTGATTGGAGCAAGCCCGCCAATCTGTACCATCAGTGCTTCTGACCACCACCAATCATTGATGCAGTACCTACATGGCACAATTATGCAAGGCAAGGTGGGTGAAGTGTCTGGCCTAAGTCCACAACTACAGTTTGTTCTAGACTCTAGAGCCACTGTTGTCCGCTGTGGCACCAGGCATTCCCAGTGGTCTTACATCCAAGTAATAACCAGGCACAGCCTTGCTGAGATCAGACTAGATTGGGCATTGACAAGGAGGTATGGGCATCTTGAGGGGAATTTTGTATGACAGATCAAAGCCTTCGGGGTTTAGACTTTGCACCAATCAGAATTGAGAGGCACCATCATGTGAGCAGAGCTACTCATTTGTATCTGTCACTTTTTGTTTTCTTGAACACGCTGCAGCTTAGTGTCACATCCTGTCAGTGCTATAAACCTCATTCTGCCATTACTGGTTGATTTACATATTCATACTGAACAATAATACAGTAGTATCATTAGTAGTATTATAGTAATAGTATTGTGCTGTGCTCTTTTAGTTTTAAGAACAGTCCACCACAATGTGGTAGTAAGTTAAATGTATTTTCTTACACTGAAAATAACTACTGATTTATAATGCATTGGTATATAATTTGATTTAAACCATTTTGTTGGTTGAATTTTTATTTTTTTTAATCTGACAAAAATCTAATCCAAATTCACACTCTGTATTTGGCATAGTTAAATATTGATACTTCTGGTAAACTGTTGCACTGAAAAATCCAACCCAAACTGCTTTAATGTGTTACTGGGGAGGTCTGCTCACCTTCTGCAAGAAGCCCACATTTCATGGGATTGCTTTAATATAATTTTAGGATTGTATTACCTTTTGAGGATACTGGAGATGTGTTTTTTCTTTCTGATAATGAAATGTCCATATACAATCTAATAAATCATAATTATTTCAGAGTTTTGTCCCATTGTCAGTGTTACGATAGAATACCACTAATAGTTATAATGCATACTGCATTATTCTTTAATGATGCACAACTGTTGCCACCACTGTCTTGGTGCCACAAAAGTAAGACAAAAATCTGCTACTCTGCACTTCCAGTCCTTCATCCGTCACACATCACGCATGTAGGCACGTAGGTAGTTGCTGTTGTTTTTTCCTGACTACTTCTCTTCATTTTTTCAACCAGAATTCTATGTGAATCATCAAGCAAACTGCAACAATAATTGACAAACTATTTGAAATCAACTTAGTCTTTTGATCAAGGTTTTTAATCAAGTGGTTCCTTTCAGTGTATATTTTCAGGATGACTACATAAAAATGATCCTCAAGTTCATGTTCCCTTAATCTAAGTGTAATGCATTCCTCTTTGGTATGCCGGCATTCAGATATCACCTGCCAGATCACATGAAAAATGCCACTCAGGTCTCTGTTTGGGAATAATGATAAGGGAACTCCTTGATTAGCATACAGAAAAGGGTTAAGATACTACTATGGAAACAGTTTTACATTGATTTTGTATATTTCACACAAAGTCAGAGGGAAGAAATGTGAAACATACTTGGGCAACTATTGATCATAAACAAGTAAACTCAACTGTGAACTTTGAAATCATTGTTTTAAATTGTAAAAGTGCTCAGTCATCAGCATGTAAGCAGAAAGGTTGTGTGCATTGGTGTTACAGTAATGAGGATGCAGTGAATACAGATGAGCATTATATGGGTCACAGAGTAAGGTCACACATGGAGAAAGTGCAGCTTGTCTGTTTATTTTTTTCAGTCATGTCAGACATGTCAAGTAACACCATATGTACAGCACAGATTAACTGTACAAAACACAAATTAAAAGAAAGATGTTGGTCTCAAGGTCAGTGCCTTGTACAGGAAGCATTCAAAAACAACATATAAATATTCAGTTAAGGCGGTGTTAATAAATGTCAGAAAAGTCAACATCCAATAGTGTAAATCTTGCTTATTTTACTCTAGATGTATATTGTATTTATGCAAAACAGTACAATTGAAAATATATATTTCCAACCACAGTTTTAACTTTAAACACTGGGCTATATGCCCACTTTAGAACAATAATGTTCTTAATAATTAGAATAGATACAAATATTATAATTTATGTTACTGCATATGATGAAAAATAATGCCATGCATTACACAAGTGCAGGTGAACCATTAGATCACTGTTTGCCTTTGTGTGAGTGCAGTACACACATTCCTGACATTCACTGAGTCCAATTGTTTAGTGTGAGGTTGAAATTATGAATGGGACGAGGACTGTTTAAGTCATTAGACCCTGCTAACCATAATACTATTATACTAAACAGGTATCAGGTAAGTCTAATTGGTGCTTTACAATTACAGAGGCCGCACTACAGGGAGCATAGTCACAGTAATCAAAGATCTAATTACTGAACACACAAGGTGTAGAAAAGCAGTCCATGTCTTAGTCCTTGATGCGCATGTTTACAAACCCTCTGTAACCTTAAGTGACTTCCATCCAAATAAAAATACTTTACATTCAAGCAATCAAGAACTGGTCTTCTATTGTATTTCCATGGTTAAATATTTACAAAAATAAATAAATAAAAATAAATTCAATTAACTCCATTCAATCGTCTCTTGCATAACACATTCAAAGACACTTAGTCATAAATAAACTGTAAACTCAAAACTTTGGCCATAAACACATCAGCAGAAATATACATAAGGCATAATCTACCAGGTTAACCAGGATAAATGGGAATAATGACATTACTCAAAATATTTCTATTTACAATATTTCATCATAGAAAAATAAGTCTGGACAGAGAGCCACAGAAACACTTAATTCAAGTGCACAAAACAGTTTGCAATTTAGACTCAATAAGATTCAGTGCAGATTTGAGAAATGGATGCCACAACATCCTGGTATCATCACTTAACATTTTACTGTACACTATTCTAAAGCCACACAACACACATTCTAACAGATACAGCAATAATGTCACCTTTTTACATTTTGTGTACACACATATATATATCTGTAAACTTGTTATCCTAAACAACAGCTTTATAACTTTTTGTTCATCAAAACGTAAATACAATAAATTCCACACATATCATTGGTTCTGGAGCATGAGCCTCAGTTAGAGCAGACCATCCTTCCATAAAGAGAATATGACCTCGGGCGGATCCGTGTTCAACCAGCAGCACCCTGGACTGAGTCAGGAGCCATGTTCTGCCTGACTGCTCAGAAGAGGAGGGAAGGAGGAAAGGAGGAAAGGAAGGAGGGATGGAGGGAGGAGAGGGGGAGGGGAAGAGCAAGGGACAGGCGAATGCGGAGGTGCCACAGAGCCCAGCCCACATGTGAACAGCTTCAAGATACAGTCCCAGTGTTTCCATAGTCCTGCACTGTGCCTGTGTTTGTATTTGAACATGCTAAATACAATGGTGCATCAAAGGGACCACCTGCTACCTCTCTCTCACTGCTGGTCCACAGGTTCAGATAGTGTTGCTTTTCAAATCCAATTCAATAAATGTACATCATTAAGTAAATAAAGTGGTATACATTCTTATATTTTTGTACAACAGAAACACAAATTTCTTGAAATAATGAGAGCTGTCACTGGCAGAAATGCTAAACTAACAAAATGAGAAAAGTGAATTAGTCTTTCTGTGCCTTCAACTATTTTATAAATCTCAAAGTGAAATGGCATGTTGTCCTACTGTCCACTTGTTCAATTATTTACACAGAGGAGGTTCAAGGGTCAATGATTGTTTAAAATCTTTAAAGAGCTATGTAGCAGCTGACACACATTGATAAACTCACAAATAATTACTTGAGTAGTCCAAAAGGCACAGAGCTCATTGTCTGTACAGGTATGACTAATTCTTAAACACACTGGGCAGATCATGTTTTAAATGTCCGATTTTAATCTCAACAGCCAGAGGGAAAAAGAAAGGATATAAAAGCATCCTACATGTGGCTCTTAACAGTACTATAAAGGACACTCATCATACATGATTCAATTAGCCTTTAGACTGCAGTCTTTGTTGCATAGTGCTTAGGAAGAAAAATAATTTCTAATAAATTTTTAGGAACATAAAGACAAAACATAATAATACTTAAAACAAATAATCAATGTGTGAATTGAAATCTCCTTAATTCACTTAACTCCACGTAGCCCAACAATGCTCACTATCTCACCTTGTCCCTGGATCTCTTAGTTGCACAGGAGTGTATGCCTCTGCTGTTTGCCCCTCTCTGTCATGCTTATGGAGTGGTGTCTCCTCGGTGCATAGAGGCTCGTCCCCAGGCCCCGTGCCCCCCTGCTCCTCCTGGACCTGCTCCTCCTGCTCCCCCATGGTCTTTGTCTGATTCAGGCTGGCTCTGGGCCCGTTCTGGTTTGGGGTTGGCTGCACAGGGAGGGTCTGGCTGCTGCACGGACATGGTCCTACGCAGATGGGTCCGCTTACACAGAAAGTCTGGTTTAGCCGAGAGTCCAAAAGAGCCTTTCCTAAGAACCATGCGGACTGAAGGGGATTTCTTGGGCCTGGCTCGATGCCCAAACTGAAGGGTAGAGAGGTGAGCGGCATAACCTTCACTCAGGAACTGGACACATGACAAGTAGATTAAATCATCAAACACAAAACGTAAAAAAAAAACAGAAACTCTGATTTTGGTATACCTGGCACTGGTTTTGGTATTTCTTTGATGGTCGTCCAACAATGTAAATTTGTGATGGACTTAGGCCAAGCATGTTGTAAACGGATATGTCTTTCATCGATCCATAAGAAGAGTTTATCTTAATGTGACACTGTGAAGAAGAAATTTTCAACAGTTTTAGACTTTTATAAAGGCAATAAACAGAGGCATGAGTTTGACAAGCCACTATTTCTATTATGGATGTAGCATGATTTAAGTTTTAACTCTGCTGGTCTGTAAGTAATGGAGAAAAAGTGTATTTCCAAGTAGCTGGATATGGTTATGCCTTCATACTAAAATCAGATCAAGGTTTTGTGCTGTGTAAGCTGATGTACCTCCTGTATGAGGTTTCTGAGAAAGATGGTCTTTTGCCGCAGGGGGTCATGAACGAGGCCTTCAGAGAAGAAGATCATCCCATGAGGAAAATTGTGCTGCGACAGCCATGATACCACACGCTGCTTCTGCATATCAGGGCGGCCTGTGATGTAGATGATCAGATAACCTAGATCCTGCCAGTGCCTGCATGCAAATGGAAGTATTTAACAGTTAAGCCTGACTTTAAGGAAGCATATGACTCACACATAAACCTGTCCCACATTATAACCAGTAGCAAGTGATGTAAATTACATTATCTCTGTATTAATGCGCCTGTTAGTAGGACAACAGCAGCAAGAGACAAAAGTTAACTTTGTTGATCTAACAGATGGGGTGCTGCAGTTCAAATAGCTTTTAAATTATTGCACATTAAGATAAAAGATGTTCAAATACACATTGCACAATAATTTGCTTTTTTTTTTTTTTTTTGCATATTAGGCAGGTAGTTATATCAGGTAAACAGTATCTCCATCAATATAAAGCAAGGGGTCAAAATGCAGCCTTATTGGTATATTCACCACTTTACAGACAGGATACAGCAGTTACTATGTAACTATTACCTGACAACATCCACAGCTCCGGGGCGGACCTTAGGGTCACTGCCCATGATTGACACACTGGCAGCAAATGAGCCATCAATACTGAAGACAACACACTCCATACCCCTTGGCAACACAGTCAGGTAGGCCTCTGCACTCGTCTGATCACCCCTAGGGAAATGAGGAGAGAAATACGGGGTTATGAACCTGGAACTCTATGTGCTCCAGGCCTGAAGCTCGTAACTATGGCCATCATTTAAAACGTCATGAACGAGAAAGCAGACCGTGCTGAAACACACCTTTGAACAATACAATAGCTCATGTCAGTAAGCCTCTTAACACTGAATTTTAATAATTCCTAAGGTATAAACCATATAGCCACTTACTTGACCACCATTTTAATTGGATAGACACCCAGACTCAGCCTTTTGCTCTTGGGGATGGTGTATGTGATTCTGCCACTGCTATTAGTCACCTCTGTGTCAAAGTGCACCCAGCGGCCAGACTGTGGCTGTGTCATGAGGAAGATGTCCACCTGGGAGAGGCAGCAACAAGTCATTAATGTTGACCTTTCTCAAAATGTTAAGGTCCTGCTGAATGGTATAATGGTTGTCACCTTTTCTCCTGTTAGAGTGACCATGTCCAATGGGCCATACATGAAGCGGCCCACCAGCGTCTGGGGCCCATCCTCTGTGGCAATTACATCATTCACCCTGTGGTTGGCAGTGACGTTCTGCAAAAACATACAACACACCGTATAATGCCTGGCCCTGGGCACCTATGAGCAACTACAAAATAGAATACATCATATTTTAAAACAGTTTGCAGAAAATCATTTAATTTTGCAAATATGAATGAAAAGTATTTTGAGTTAAAATATTAATATTTCTAATGCAGTCTGTAGTTCTAGAACTGTAATACAATTGTGTATTGCTTTCATTAGCAAAGCTCTCTATATGCTAATGTGGCAAAATGGATCCTGAATGTGGTCGACATAAGCTCGATGTGATTTTACAAAACATCAGTTATAGGACAACACCAGAGTGTAGTATATTTACAGTTTAATGGTATGTTATTTATATGTAAAAACATTTAAAATATGAGTAAATATTACATATAGTAACTGTCAAGTGAGGATAAGTTCCCAAGCCTTTTTGAATAGTATGGCTCAAATAAAGATAAACTGTGTGCATAGACTGAATACCATGACCTTAGCTCACAACCATTTACAGTATGTATCAGAAACACTTGTCTTTATAAGGAATGAGACAGACCTCAAATAGAAATAGGTTTCCATGGTGCTCTAGTAACACAGTTCTATTTATAACTGCATTGAAAGCAAGCAGTTGCTAATGTCTTGACTCAAAAACACAAAAGGAGAATTGGCTCTGTAGATAGAAATATGGCCTTGATTTTTCTGCTTGGTGTAGCTCAGAAGAGTCAAGTAATTGTTGTGTGTCTGTTTATGCTACGTGAGAAAGCGTGGGAGTACTCGAAAAAAAAAAAAAAAAATCACACAGCTCAACATAACCATCCACTTCATATTGTAAATGAGACGACAAAAAGAGCAAAACACTTATGATTTGTAGGCATGGAAAAAACTTGTTAGAAAAGTGAAAAAAAAAAAAGTAAAAATTAAAAGTACCCTCAATTTAACATGTGTCCTCCTTCTGAGCCATTTTTCCCGTGGACTGGATGGAGAGAAAGGAGCTGAGTCCAAATGGTCTGCTTCCTGGGTCTTCACGCAGTCACAACGCATGAGCTGCAATAAAAAATACACAGATCACCAGCTTGGTCCTCAAAGAACTACTCTAGCAGCACAGATTGCAAGGTTCACAGTAGCTTTTAAATTGAATCCATGATAAAGTTTCAATCATACACCACGAGTGGGGTGGAGAGCTTTTGTGACAAGAGCTGACACAAATTAAGATCTGAGAGAGAGATGGTTTTAAAGAGTTATAAGAAATGCCTCACTACCTGAAGAATATGCATTGAATTACAGTGAGGTGTCAGTGAAAAAATATTTTGATTAAAACACAAAATTTTGCTGAATGTACATTTTTAAAAATAAAAAACAATCATGCTACAAGAGGAAATTGAAACTGGATGCCTCACCTGGTTGAATGCCATGTCCCTTGAATATTTGCACTTGGCAAACAATTGTGGCTATATTAACCTTTCTTTTGTTTAACATATAGACATAACAGCTCCCCCTTCTCCCTCTATAAAACAGAATCCTGGTTTACTTTGTAACACATGTTTTGATTAAGCAGTGCACCTCAGCAAAAAGGTGTTCCCCACACTATGAAAAAAGGTGTGAACATGCCTCTGACTTGTTTTCACTGTTGAAATCTACTATTCCTTTAATTTGTATTTTAATTTGAAATCATGCTTCTAGAAATAAACATAATATGGATAGACATGCACCATACTAATAAGACAGTTGACTTTTTACACAATATGCAAAACAACTGCAGACCTTTTTGTCTGTCAGTTAATATTTATGTTGTGTAGCTTTAGCCTTGGTCTTTCATAACTGTTAAAACACAGTGAGTCCCTGAGTCCCACCCAGGGAAATTTAAAACGCCCCCAGTCTTCCTCTTTGAGCCGCTAACCTGGCGGAGAACAAACGCTGCTACATCAGTGGATTCCCAGTAGGAGGCATGGAAAAGATGAGGCAGAGCCACTGTGGGGAAGGCAGTGAGAACATCAGGGCAGTACAGAGCATAGTCCAGCCGCTTGGAGCCCCACCACGTACTAGAAACTGCACACAGAGAATTGTGGGTAGTAATTGGTTACAGTTACATTTAGTAGTCAGTAGTCAGATCATGAATATTAAATGATTCCTTTAAGATTAGTGTATCACAATCTCTTTCCTAATTGAGATTTAAGATCTTCAAGTGTCTATTGGATTTTTGCTTATGTAATTGAGTGAAATTAGTTTTACTCCAGTACAGATTTATTTATAAAAGCACTTAAAAATAGAATGGCTGTATGTTGTCTGCATATAATTATAAAGAGATATAATTGTCCGCGAACCAGGAAGTAAATCCGGTTAGCATTCTGGCTGTTGAGTGGTGTGATGGCAAAAGTCTGTTCTGGTCTCTGAAAAGTTATGTGAAGCACTCATGAACTCACTACTGTAAATAATTATGATGCTCAAGATGTGTTGAAAGAGAGAGGAATAAGGAATATGTTTGGACTACTGCAAACAATGACTGCATTTTTAAGACCTGTAAAGACCTTTAAAGTTAAGTTAAAGTATGAGTATTATCTTTCTGACATAAATCAGTGGCAACAGTGTCTCAATTGGAAGAGCGTTTATCCACTGATCCGAAGGTTGACGGTCTGAATCCCACTCTCAACATAAACATGAAACATAAACATGGTGAGTGGTCAGATCCATTGACCCACAGCTGGTGTGATTCCAGCTCCCACAGATGAATACTGTTGTTAATGAATGTGTGTGTGAATGGGTGAGTGGTTCCTTGATGTGAAGCGCTTTGAGTGCCTTGAATATGTAAAAGTGCTATGTGACCATTTACCATAGAATAATCAAATGTTAGTTAGAATCAGTGTGCATTTTTGCTCTTCCCCACAATGTGATTTTAACTGTATTACATTATAATATTTGGTAACAAGCTCTTACTTAAATACAAAGTGTTTTCACTCACTGTTGCTGATTAGGTTTCCGAGTTGGCTCATGGAATAGACAGATGTTTCACTTCCCACACTGGTCACACTGGGTCTGCGTCCTCCTTCCTCCTCTTTTTCAGTCTTACCCTCTGATGACGGGCTTTGTTCACTTTTTAAGAAAACATTTGAATGGCCTTGAATACTTTCATCTGTGAATAAGAAAGGAACAGAAAAATGAAGGACAGAAACATGAGAAAAGAAGCTTTGAGGAGACAACAACTGGTCCAGTGTAGTCTTTAAATCAATAGTAGTTTTGGCTAATAAGATCACTTCTCGCTGTGTATTGACTTGCTTTGGACTATATCAATGAAGCCAAAGGGAGCAGAGGCAGCTGAAGGCTAGTGAGGGACTACTACTTTTAGATAAGAATCCAGTTGTATTGGTTTTTGCAAGTCTACTATAAGCATAGAATATGCAGACACAAGATCAAAAATACAACGATTAACAACAGACTATTATATAACTGCTGAGTAAAGCCTTTGCATAAAACTATAAAACTGGTTCTATAAATGTACCTCAAAGTAGTGCCTCAGAAGTGATATAACTTTCCAAGTATGATTTGAGCCCAGTTATTAAAACATTTATATAAAGAGAGGATATGACAGAGGAATTCATAAATTTAATTTATTTCTCTGTCATGACCAACATAGAAATTAAAAGTGCACTGCATAACATTTCTAGTGGATGGTCCACTGAGTGTTCCACACTATAGATTAAACCTATTTATCATTATTCAGATCTGTGGCGAGTCGTCCCTATTCACAGGAGTTGTTGTATTTTTGAGCAATAGAAACACCTGTATGTTGAATGAATGCTAGATGTATATGTTTAATGTCACAACAATGGAAGCAATAACATCCCCGCGGAGACAAGCAGGTGGTGTACCCTCCACCAAAAAAGTTGCGCAGTGCACCTTTGAGCCTACACTAAACCAGGTCATTTTACAAAAATAACATGTCTAAAACTATAGTATGTATATACCAGGACTGGACTAAACTACTATAAAATGTAACCAGGTCAAAACTACTAATTGAATTGAAGAACTAATAGTGTACGGAAGTTCCCCTGGAGTGAATCTACTTATTATTCCTTGAGACAGACAACCTTGAGGAGACATATTTCATCAATAATCCAACCATATGAAAGACAAATGTGCAACAGCTCAGTTTAATATAACACATTATTTTTCACATAGAAAGACAAAGTACATCTAATGCTGGAGCTTCTATCAAGAGAAAGATCATTTTAAACATGCATTGTGTAACTTTTCATGTATTGTCCACCATCTGCTTGTCCCTATGGAGATGGTGTTGCCTTGTCTAGAATGTCCCAGTATGGCATTAGACATATTAGTCTGGCATTTACTCAGTATCATTGTTTTTTTGTTGACTTAAAAAACTTTTTATTTATTTTTTTTTACTGTGAGGGGAGACAAATAAGTGTAATGCCATCCTGTGGAACATTCCAGACATGTTGCACAGTGTACCTTCAAATTCATGACTCAAATTTGGTTATGTAATTGTAAGTTATCCCAGGGCTTTGTCAGATACATTTTATAACGATACCTCCAGATTGACTAGGGGCTAAAGTAGTCTTGACTAATGCACAGAGCTGCACAGAGGACATTTCAATCACATTGGGCTGAGAGGAAAATAGTCCCTCGTATCTCTCAACAATAAAAGGAGCATTTGTGTGCAGTACATGATGTGTATGTACTCTCTGGGGACACTTATAATCACTGCTTGAGAGTTCTCCTTCATTCGAGAAATAGTAGTTGTACTGTCTGTGTAATCCCTCAGTCGTCCAGGTAGTGTCCAAAAAAGGCTGAATTCTGTCAAATGAACCAAAATAAAATTTTCAGTCAGCAAACTACACAGCTCAACACCATACTCAGCAACTTTGTGATGACTTAAATTTGAGGCAATTTGGCTCACAATTACATCTTTATTATATATGTACTGACAATATGACAATAATTTATTTTGCCAGTAAGCCCCAATAGTCCCCGAGGAGCAGTTGTACTGTCCGTAATGTACATGGGGAATTTAACCTTACATCTTATTTCACATATTCTTGAGCTGTGCATTGGATATGAATTTAAATCTAGACAGTGATCAGAATTTTAACCCATCTCACAGTATGGCTACAGCAAGTAAAGTAAGTCATCTAAAATGTGACTGCAGTGAATAATGTGTAACCTTGTGGTGTCAAAGTGGATTCGCAAAACTAGCTTCTCAATATTCAGGACAGATGCGCACCAATTGAACTGCAGAATCTGACACAGAGGCAATATAATGGCAAAATAACATCTCACTAGGAGTCCTGATATCAGTGCAGATTCCTGGAAGACTTTCACAATTACAAGGATGAATCATGTTAATGGCACATCCACTGGTATAGGTATGAGAACGCACAAATCTGACACACACAGTATCAGTTTGTTATTGTTAATAAGCTCCTGAGCTCCTTTTCTTTACAATTTATAGGACATTCACCGCACAGAGACCACAAAGAAAAAAAAAGTTATGATGAGGCAAAATCAGTTCAGTCGAAAGGACAAATAAACAAAATAATAAATATATAGATTTATTTGTATTGTTAGTAATTGATATTTTGAAAAAATGCAAATCATGAGATTGAGGATTTTGTATACTTCTATGTATGTTACTCCTGACTTTCTAAATCAAAAAGCAGGGCTATTGTGCAATTAAATAATTGTCATTATCTATCACTTTATCTGTGTGTGTGTGTGTATGTATATATATATATATATATATATATATACATATATATATATATATATGGTGATGGCGAACCAACCAGACATAGTGGTGGTGGATAAGAAACAGAGCAGAGCCGTGCTGGTGGACATCGCAATACCAAGCGATGGTAATATCAGGAAAAAGGAACACGAGAAGCTAGAGAAATACCAGGGGCTCAAGGAAGAGCTGGAGAGAGCCTGGAAAGTAAAGGCATCAGTGGTGCCTGTGGTGATCGGAGCACTCGGGGCTGTAACCCCCAAACTGGAAGAGTGGCTTCAACAGATACTGGGAAAAACAATGGACATCTCAGTCCAGAAAAGTGCAGTACTGGGAACAGCAAAGATACTGCGCAGAACTCTCAAGCTCCCAGGCCTCTGGTAGAGGACCCGAGCTGAATGAGGGTGAGAGAGACCTACCACCGTGGAAGTGAGAAACACATTTTATATATATATATATATATATATATATATATATATATATATATATATATATATATATATATATATATATATATATATATATATATATATATATATATATATACATATATATATATATATATATATTTTTTTTTTTTACAATTTCTGACTTCAATTAAAAATCTAAATCCTCCAGTGTACACAAATACACAGATAGATAATTTTTTTGTCCATATCGCCCAGCTCTATGTTGGGAATACACTAATGTAAGTCACTAATGTGATGGGGAAAAAATGGGCTACAGTTCCCCACTCCTCCTGTGTCCTCATATTTCCCAGTGGGTCATAACTAGAAATCAATAGGAAGTGGCTTCCTCCTTTCTAAATTGGCAACATTCTTTATAATAAGCTCAGCTGTTGACAGCTGCTGATGACAAAGTTTTAGCCACACGAATCCCATTTGCTGGTTCTCTGTTAGCTTAGGATAACTAATAATCATTATTCAGGGCAGCAAATGGATGGCTGTGTTTCTTCATCATGTGGGACTCTCTGTTTGAGTCTTAGCACCTGCCAGGGGATTTTCATTTAGCAAATGACTACATCAAATATATATTTAACCACAATTAGAACAAGTGTGTCTATGTAATTATTTCATTTAGCTTAATCAGCATGGCAACACGCTGATAATTGGAGTTACCAAATGAAAACATTAAAAGAACAAAAATTGGATAAAAATCTAAAACTAAAGCTGCAGAGCATCTTAAATCTTTTCTATTTTTTCACTTTTTGTTTATTGTATGTATGCATGTATTTATTTATTTATTTATGAAATAAAGAACACAAGTAAGAAATCAGTTGTTGTATGTCACCGTCTGAAAAATATCACTATTTGAAAACATATATCGACAAGAGCATTTATGAAAATTTTTAACAGACAGCATTTTGGTTTGTTCAGGTTTGTTTTCAGGTTTGTTCATCTATGCTATTCTTGTTATTAAAACTAGTGTACACTCCTTATCCTACTGATAATGAGGTAGGAGCAGAGAAAAGGTAGAGGAACCAGTGGATGCGTCATAACTACTGTTTAGAGTGTGCCTCTGTGTCCCAAAAGTGGGCTAACACATGCTTCAGATAAATCATAGGCTCATTAAAGAACGCTCGTCCGTACAGCCAGCCCTCTTGGGGGACTACAACATCTTATCTGGCAATGACTATCTCACATCCTGTGCGCAAGGACCAGACAGATGGAAAGCGAAAGGTGGGGCTCGGACACTAGAGTAAGCACAAATGGATTTAAACTTTGGACACTTGGGGAAAAGAACTGCATTCCATCTGTCCTTCTACGAGAAAGTGCACTGCAAAATCTCTTTTGTCTTCATGGCCAAAAAAAGTAAAATGCTGTGCATCCAAAGACTTGGGGGTTAGTTCACAGTGCCCATGCAGCGTAACAAGCCTGTTGAATGTCTCTCCCTGCTCGTCAGCTCATTTCACACTATACTAATGTGTCTAATATAGCCTATATGCATGAACTATTTAAAATGAACTACTCTCTTTAATTGGACTGGCAAATGATTTGAAGAGATTTCTTGCTCTTACCTAAGAGCATAGTGCGACCATCTCCGAGGGGGTAGCGCTGGTAGCGGGGCACGGCAAACGGGGGTAACCTGTGAAAGAGGGGCTGCAACAGGGGCTCCAGTCTGGAGGCAGAGGGGTCCGAAGGGTAAAACAAGTTGAAGATCTGAGAGCAGGCAGGGCGAAGCTGGCTCACTGCCAAGAAAAACAAAAATTCTTATGTAAAAAGTGAATCAGTTTTATCTTTTGTTATTACAATATTTAATTGTTCACTAAATTTTTTGGTTGAACACTAACAACTAGTTATAAAACTTTCAATTCATTTTAGATAACCGCTCTATATACAGCTACATTCTGTTGTTACAGTACAAAAAAAAATCATAATAACAGCCCATCCTCCAAACAGTGGCCATGGGGTAAACTCTCAGGAGCAGAGGGCCCAGTATACAGCCTGGGGGTGGGAACCCTCTTTCAGATCTACAGGAAAATATGTCAAAAGAACCTATTTGCAGAAATGGCCTAGTCTTGGCACTTGTGGTAGCACATGTCTTACCTTGGACATTGGGCAGCACAGTCCTCCTCATGGCCAGCACCAAGCCCAGTGGACAGCCCAGCAAGAAACAATCAGACACCTCAAAGTCAAAACGGCCTGGATTCAACACCAAACTGGGGTTACTGCCACCACGCACCTCTACTCCCTCCTTCATCAAACTGCAAAAGAAAAAAAATGCATTACTGAAGAAATGGAGAATTCATTCTGTGACGATTTAGAAAAACATCCTATCTAATTTGTAAGATCGTTGACATGTTTAGCTTTCAAATCCACTCTAGACCTTTTCTAAATACTAGGGAAATGAACGAGCGAGCTGGGACTCCAAATAATCCCAAAGTAAATTGATGAAACCAATATAAATGTTTTACAGCAGTGCGTAATGTTTGTAGATTTTATCCTCTACAGTGATTACTTGCTGAGATACACAACAAAATTCCCCGCAGTGAGGCCATTAAAGTGTGCACTGGGAGAGGGATTATCCACCCCTCTCTTGTCTCCTTTAAAAGCCAAGATCAATACTGCCTTTGTTTTCTTATGCCACTCTCTCTCTCAAGTTCACCCCTTCACTCGGAGCTCATTCTGTGGTTGTGTAATCATCAGCCTGTTGTTTACCCTCATGTCCACTACTGTAAATGTCTTGTGTTATCTAACCAACATGCAGTGAGAAAAGGTTAGCGTTTCATTAAAGGTTACCAGGACTCTGCTGTATTTAAGAGGGAGGCAAGTATGCTTGGTTACTCACTTTTAAACACTTTAGAAGAATGTGGATTGAAATTACGTTATTATCACTTTTTATTATCACAGATTTTGACTGCTAGATCTGAGCTCTGTCTTTCTCTCTTTCTCTCTCTCTCTAACACACAAGTCCTGCATGTTTAGGCTGAGTTCTATTTCACTATTTCATTTAATTTTTATTTGTTTGAGCAACATGCCTGTATAAGGTACATTACAAACACGCTGGTGCCCAAAAGGAGTAGGTTGAAGTTTAAAAAACTTGTCAAGTCCTACCCCATTTGTTTTAAATTAACATGTGGTTAACACTTTGTAGACTAATAAACCAGGATTACTCAAACATGAATGAAGCAAAACACTACTCCATATATGTTACTGATGATGTAAAAACATTGTGCCATGGCTTAAAGCTCACAGGAGTTAATTTTGTGTAATATAGGACCTTGAAAATACTGGATGGTATCTTTAATGCTCAAATGATGCAAATGTAAATTATTCTATTTTATCTAAAATTACAAAAAAGGGGGAAATCAAGGACCCCTAAATAAAATGTAAAAGAGCTAAAAGATAAAAGGTAGTTGGATTTGACAGAATTGTACAAAGAAAAAAAAAATCAACAGGCCTATTCATATATTAATTGATACTGAAACAACTATCAAAACTAAATATACACATATGTAATGAAAAAATATACACAAATGGAACAAATTGGGATCTTTCCTGAATAGTTTTAAAGTAGCTAAATAGCTATATTGGAACTAGTTTTTAATTGAATTAAAACAACTAATTTTGTGATTGTGAAATTATATTCTATTTTGTAAAAACAACAACAATGAAAGTTTATTATTACGATTGTGGTATTAGAATTGGTATTCATACTAAGGGCTTTTTCTTATCCAAATTGAGTTTGAAATTTTAGAATCGTGAAAACACAATGAGCCTCAACAAGGTGTGTGTGTAAAAATTCACACTACACACAATATACACTAATCTGGGAAGCCACTGGGGTGAAATGAGGAATAATGTCTTGGAAAGCAGATTTAATAAGACCTCTTGGTGCAGGGCTTTTCTACCAGGGCTAATAAAGGCGGAGAGAGCTATATGGAGCAGAGGTTAGCCACAGCAGAGCCACACTAAGGCTTAATCAAGTTGGATCCAGTAGAAAGTACACTACTCCCCCATGAACAGTAAGTGTCAAAAGTGAAGACATTTGCTTCTATTCTGGCCTCAATAACAATGTTGTAAGCCCCATCCACAATAGTTGTATCCATTAAACCTAACCTGAGCCAGCTAATTCACCTGCACACAGTTTAACAGCCTGGCAAAGGTACAGTTGCTATTTATAGAGTAGGCAGGAAAGGGAGGACCAGACAAGCTGCAAATATTGATAAAGAACCAGAGCCAAGCAGACTGACATATTGTGAAATGAGGGGTGCTATGAAGCATCTGGCTGTGGATGAACCCGTAACACACATCAGATTCTGTCACAGAGAAAGGGACAGGGAGATGGATGGCAGAAAAGTATTATTTGTATTTTATTATTCTGTTATTGTGTGTGGGTGCTTAGTCTGGTCTGATCTCCATGAAGACAGAATACCATAATACCATACTGTGAAACATTTCAGACAAAGTAATAACATCTACATGGAGAAACTCATTTGACAGACCCTCCACCAGAAAAGTTAGTCTGTCAATGCACCTTTAACAAGAAGATAATCCTACATAATGTTGTCAGTGCACACCAAAAAAACAACTGATCTGAAAACAGACACATTTTTTAGTTTCAAGAGCATGGCATATTTAAATAAATCAACAGTATTTGTTGTTACTGTATACATTAATAGCTAATATGAATTTTAAAGTCATACAATTATTATTATTATTATTATTATTATATAAAAGCACTGCAGAAGTTTTTTGATGGAGGATCTGCTACCTGCTTGTCTCCATGGAGATGTTATTGCTTTCATGGAATGTTTCAGGGTATGACATTAAACATACGCATTGAGCATTTATTCAAGATGGGTTTTTCTATTCAAAAATGCAATAATTCTTCCATGAACAGGGGTGACTCTCCACAGATATGAATTGTAATGTAGTGCTGTAAACTGCTTGTCTCGCTCATGATAGATAGGTTTAATCTATATTGTGGAACATTCTAGACAAAACAATGACATTTCCATGGAGATATGCAAGTAGCAGGCAGGGCAGGAGCCAGAAAAGCTGCACAGTGCATCTTTAACAGCTAGTTTGCATTTAATTATTCACTTACTCAAAGTGGTGGGCAACCCTGTGTCCAGCTTTTGTGTGAGTAAGAGTCAGACTCCAGGCCATAAATGCTATATTCAAACCACAGCCATTTTTCAACAGTAAGAACACACACGTCTTGCTGTAGTGAAATGCCAGTATGAAGAGGCAGGGCCAGCAGCACAGAATTAATTCTGCAGTTTTGGACAGGAAGTCAGTGGATCCATATCAATTATTAATTTTTAGAGATCAATATTGGGGTTTACGTGAACAAAATGTGAAATAACGTGAACTCCGAAAAAATGTCTTCTTTATGCACCTAAGGTAAACTGTTTTTGGACATAATATAATTTAAGATACTGAAAATGTATATTGCAATGTTATTAAACTAATCTATGGAGCAATACCAGTAGACTATACCAGAGTACTATAGTGTTGTATACCTGGAGAAAAAGCCACGTTGACCTGCAGAAGATGAGTCTCCATCATAGGAGTCACTCTGTTTGCGGCTCAGAGAGGGTGCTCCTTGGCCGTTGTTTGGAGCCGAAATGTCAATATTGCTTTTACTCAATCTTTTACTGGAACTCAACCCAAGACTGGACTCTCTCTGGGGCCCTGATGAACTGTCCTGTGTGGAGAGCAGATTAAAAATTATGTTATTGTAAGATAATTTTAACCAATATCACATAAATACTAAGACTCAAATAATATTCTAATCATTATGGCACTGGTAAGAGGGTGTTATACTGCATAGATATTGCTATCAACATAAAGTCTAGCGGAAGGAAAATATGTAAGAAATTAAGCAGGTTCAATTTGGCCTGGACCTTTCTTTTCTTCTGCAAATATCTCTCTTCGCTTTATAATACCACCACCCAATTCATATTCTACGTCATTCAAATTCAAATGAATATGCAAATCACAGGTAGAAATTTGGTGGCACAAGCCCAGAGGACAGAAGCAGAAGGGAATGAGGAGGAAGTCCACATTAAGTTTAATATTTAGATTTTCAGGCTGAGGAGTGCAAAAGCTTGAGTAAAGTGAATAGAAAGAGAGGGATTAAGAAATAAAAATGTGGTAAATCAAATTTTATTGCCATCACTTTGTTGTACGAACCAAATCACATTTCATATAACAGTCAGAAACTCATAAAATCTCACAATGTTCAACTTTCTGGGAAAAGCGCCAAGGTTGTTGTTTCACTATGTTTGTGTAGTTTAATTAACTTCTCTGAAAGGAAAGGTATGACAGGCATGTAAGCATAATCATAATTTTACAGAGATGTCTTCATAAAACCCTCACACATCCCATTACCAGAGCTGAGCCGTACCTTCAGGCTCTCGGTGCTGTTATTTCTGCTGCTGTTGTTTGGGCTGCCAGTCCTGTGATGGTTACTGAAGCACAGGGCGTCAAAGCACAGCACGCCACCCACACAGTCTCCCATAAGGCAGACCTGCACAAAATACACACACAATCCAACACAATGCATCAGAACAGAACCAGAGTGGCCAGAAAGCCACATGCACACAGATGAATGAATATGATTACAAGTGAAAACATATCATTTCAAAATGTCAGAGAGCCTGGCTCAGACAATAGAGAGGCATAACAATAATAAATACAGCGATTTATGTACAGTGAGTAACTTATGGCCTTTTATATCTGCATGTGGCATTTACACTCTGCATTCATAATACAAACAAGTCAGATGAATCAGGGTGTAATTATGAGTAGTTGTAGAAGTATGAATAATGTGCAACAACTGTCCAAGTCATACCCACTTATAAAACAACCAAACATTTATTTACACTGATATATACTGATTTTAGTCAATTGTGGCTTGTAATGAAATCCTGTCAGTTAATCCAAAAAAGCAATGAATGCCTCTGAGATAATAACTTAAAACTCTATGTCTCCACTGCAAAACAATATGTAAATAAAATAGACTAAAGGACCCTTGTGGACCTTGACCCTATGTTCTGTATGTATAGAAAATGTCAGGGCCTGCCTTCAAGGTCCATTTTCTTGCAGGAAAAGCCAAGAGCAGACTGAATCCAAATAATAGCCATTTTTCTATCTTGAAACAAGGTATATTTGAACAATAGTTTAAAAAGTACTTTTAAATTTTTAATAAAACAATTATACATTTATTCACTACATCACTGGGTAATGAAAACAAAATTCAATTGAAAAAAAAAAAAAAAACTACTGAGTTAAATGTGAGCAAATTTACTAAAAGTCTTTCCAAATATACTGAAGGACTATTGCCAGTGAACTGCCTTATACCAGTTCTGAGCCAAGGCCTGTTTTAGATTCTGAGGCAATATCCCAATAGTCAAATTCTGTTTAAATCAAAAGGATACCAAGAGCCAAGAGTAGTCTAATGAAATTTCTAGAGTTCATATAAATGAGTTTTTAGAAATAAAGACTCGATTCATGTTTTCACAGACATCTTGGAGAGTATGCTGACGCACACCTGACCAGTAAAGCCCTGTCCGTCCTCAGACTGGAGGAAGCTGCGGTACACCTGGTTGGCCCTGGCGATCACGGTTGCCACGGCATCCTGGTATCGAGGTGAGACAATGGCGAGGAGAGGGAGTGCTGCAAGAGGGAGATGGTCCACACTGCTGGAGACACAGCTCTCATCATAGCTGTATGGGTTTAGACTGACAAGAAAACAGAAAATATGTAATTTAGGCACAATATCCATGACGATTCAAAGATTAAAACACTATGGAACCTGTGAAAGTATTAAACATGTGAATCAAGTCTCTGATTAAATGAGTTTCAGCATTTTCTGGATAAAAGCGAAATATAAATAAAACACAACTGGCAGCAAGATAACAGTCTGAGAACATTTTACCTTAAGTGGGCAATTTATCAAAGCAGAAATAATAATTTAAAAACATTGAGACTATTGAGATATTAATGTATTAATTATTAAGAAAAATGTGACTCTTGGTCACATTTTGTGCTATAAATGTGCTATATAAATAAACTTGAATTGAATTGAATTGGTTAAATCCTCATATTATTTTAAAGTTAACATTACAGTTTGTCATATTTGGGACTGTAAAACATAAAACTTAATACAATTCAATCAAGCCCATACGTATGATTTATTTGCAGCACCAACTGGCTTGACTCCTTCTTGTGTTTTTTCTTACTTCAGATTGGCGCTAGCCTGAACTCTCCTTGAGCTGTGCCCTGTCTATCCCCGTCCATCATTTCTCTGATTACAGAATATAGCAACAATTTAGATCCATGGTTGAAAAATGTCAGCACACCCATCGCCTGGTGACACAGAAGGGCACAGCCTGGTCCTAACATTAGTAAAGTCTGCAGAAACCTATATCAAGATCCACAGTACTAGAAGATTACTACATTATCCTGTCATTTTATGTTTGCCCTTTCCATGGCTGCAAGCAACCATTTCTTGTATCTGGTCAGTTGATAGGAGCATTTATACCAACTGCTAGGATGGATACAGTGATACCATTGTGTTTCTACTACTATCTCAAGTACAAAAAAGTTGAAGTCACAAGAAACAAGCAGGTAGTTTTCTCACTCACTCACACCTGAGCTGTCCAGCATGTTCAGCCAATAGGTTCTAGTCGAAATACCAAAGAAATCTAGCAAGAAAAAAAAATTTGTAAAACGTGTCATCTTTGGGTCAGACCTGAAGATGTGTGTGGATTTCAACATGCTGAGGAATAATACAGTGAGATTTGGCACTGACATTTCTGCATTGCTTTGTGTTTCTGCGATTTTTCCCGATACTGATGCATGTGAGTTTATAGAATACAGGGTCTACACAACAATCTGATGCGACTATATATTTGTCAAGCAGGGTATTTATGGTGGTAATTACTAATATAACAGAAGTTATATTAGTAGTTAGTAGTACAAAGTGGTACGTATGCATTTGTTTCTTTAAATAGTAGTATCTGTGCAGCATATTGATTATTGCCGTATCAGCATATTGTAAAATTATATTGTGGGTCACGTATAGCCAACTGTTTCAAATCATGAGAGAACATGAGATTCCCACACTCTTGACTCTAGTACAGCTCCAGCTTGGTGTAAAGCCTTTTATATATTAATTTTAACACTTATCTGAGCTTATCAAAGAATCCATATTGCAATCACCTTAATTATTCCGTATGTGTCAAAGCTGTAAACAACTGTCATAACATGTCACTGAAATGAACAGTAGAAAAGTCCCATAAGTATTCAAAGCCCCTTCTAAGACAGAGCTGGGTTCACGATCCACAAGAAAATAAGTCACACACCTGGCGCAGTGCTCCACAAATACCAGGTGAGGCACTTTCTATTACGGAGCATAATTAGCTGATTATGCAAACACTTGTTAGCTTTATTAAAATGATTCACATCCTGTTTTACAACCCACTGAGTTTAGTTAAAAGATTAACGTCTTTGCATTTGTGACGTTATGTTTAGGATAAAAGGATTATAATTTGACTCTGTGAATTTAACAACCCATCTCACTCCCATCTGCTTTTATGACTGTAATTACTCTTAATAATCTTAAACATCATTTCCGTAGATTATGCTGGTGGGGTAAGAAAAATAGATGTCGTAAAAGTGTTCCACAGCTGTAGAGAGCACTTAAGCACAAAAACAAATTTGTGAGTATTACTGGATGCAACCATTGACTTGAGAAAACAATTTATTTATTATCGCAAGGATAAAAGTACCTCCATTCTGAATGTGTGAGAGGAGATGTTCAAGAGGTGTTACTAAAGCTAAAGTCAAAGTAATTATTTTTATGTTTATGAAAAAGTGGGAATGGGGAAAATGTAATACTTACATTTTATACCTAAAAAATATAAATATATAAAAGTTTTTTTTTTTCTCCATCTTATTTACACAATAGGTCTTTGATTGTAAGATGACTATGTCACAGAACAAATGAACACTACCACATTAAACCGCATGTCCCTTTTCAAGCAACAGGTTTTAGTAAAAATTCCTGAGCTCTATGGTCTCCAGGGAGCGCATGAATGCAGCATTACTATGATGTAATGATCTTTTAACAGAAACGGTCAGGGAGAGAGCCCATGTGAGAAGATTAAAAATCAGATGAGTTTCATCTCATCTAACCTTGAGGTGGTCTCTGATATTGTGGCTCTTACGTATAATCTAAGGTCTGACAGATTAGAAGTGAACTGCACCCACTCCTGTTTAATGGATGGCTTGGCACTGCATTTGCGCAATTAGTGAGTATAACAGCAATCCTTTGTACGCTCCTCTTAATGAGGAAGAGGAGCAGGAATGGGAGGAGAGCATCTATAGCGTCAGTAATGAAAGTCTCCCCAGTGGAGGACAGAGCCAAGTTAACATCGTCAGCAGTCTCTCCGCAATGAGAAAATGCCAGAGCTAATTCATTGTAACCTTTCAGAAGTCCCCAGAGCAAAACAGTTTCACAAACTTGTTTTAAAGTTGAATGTTCTAGTTTGTGTTGTGTTACTTTTATAAGGTAGAGACAATGTTTCCTGTTGCCGTTAATTGGGTACAAGATGTTATTGTTTTGTGAAAGTAACATCATGAATATTACATTATCCTGAAAAAACAGGCTGTATCAAAATTATAGTAGCACCTTTTAAGAATATTGCTGAATTGGGATTGTCATGACGATTTTGAAGTACGATATAGATTGCTGAAGAAACTATAGACGATAAATGATAATATTAAAACAAAATTATACCACTGACACAATAACTCTAAAGAAGTATTATGCCCAAATCTAAAACATTTAATTGGTTAATTTGTATACATCATGGCTCATAGAAGTTATTTATTCAACCTTCTACACCTTAAATCTAATCATAGAACAGAAAAATAACAAAAAAATCCCTGCTAGTATAAAGAAAAACTCCCCATTATACCTACTGACCACCAAAAATTATTGTTCCATCAACATATACAGAACTCCATATAGTAATTATCGTGACAGGCCATAATTGCACCCCTGCAATTTGGAAATATTATAGATATATTAGATATTATTATTATAATAGTTAATATATATTAACATTAGTTTAACAATAAAAATTGTGAATATAGCAATGTATTTTTAAAACAAAAACCTTTTATAAAAATAACTGCATTGATCCTACTGGAACGTTTTCTCTAAATATTGATACAGCACAACTACTGCTTAATAATTGATTTTCCTATATCCCCAGAGGAGGGAAGTAATTTTTTCTCACTCACTGTTAATTGGGTGCACAGCAGTAGAAGGTGTGACGACAACACTAGATACTTTTCGACTTCCTGTGTATAGCATGTCCAATACAGCTGGTGTGTGTTGTCTTGACACCCAGCACAGTGGCTTCATTATCAGGCTGGGATAATAATGAACTCTGAGAGCCCCTCAGAGAGAAGCGATCCCTCCTAATGCACATGGAAACAAACACAACACGGACTGGAAAATCTTCTCCACAGAGACTTCTTCCAGTGCCACAGGAATTATCACACACTTAGTCCAGAGTGCATTGTTTATTTGATTTTTTTTTTACTTCAAATGTGCTAAGAGACTCCATCACCTTCAGCTCTGTAGTGTTATTTTTTTATTTAGCCAAAGCTGTTAGCTACAATGAGAGTAAATTAGGCACGCAGCAGTATTTGGTTCTCCGCATGGCTGTGGAGTCCTGTCTCTAGTGTGTTTATGTTGGCACGCGAGTAATGAGACTTTGCACACCCACGGGTCCAACACTGTCATTAGCACAAACAGTGTTAACCACTGAAAGAGGAGTGGAAAAAGTGTAGCATTGTGAGATGTGTGGGCGCGCTCAGAGCCAACTGACTGTGCATATTGTGAGAGTATGCTGAAAAACCTGGAGCAATCTGGATTTAAGCAGGTTTTAGATTTTTAATGCAAGGAAGGCATGCATTGTACGGCAGTTAAACTCAAAGGTAGGACTGAATAATTTTGGAAAAATATCCTGTTGAGTTTTATCAATCTGAGATTTTTTTAGAATTGAGATTACTTTTGAAATTTTAGTTTTAAGGAAAACATATTGTGCTTTAGTTCTGCTATATAGTTATAATCTACAACCTGTGGAAGCCAGGAATTTGTGATAGCTGCACATCACACTAGAGGCTAGAAGATCTTTTTGTGTTGGTGCCAAGTGACCATGGAATGCTGCCAAATCCTACAGTATCACTGATTAAGATAAAATTGGGGAAGTACAGAGCAGTGGGCGTATATCTGTGGCGGTGAAAACAAGGATTGATCGGCAATTGGCAAAGTGATTAAAGATTGCTCAAACACACACGAATGACTCCAGATACAACTTTGAAAAGGTAAAACAAACGTGGTCAAAAGCTCTGAAAAGTCAATTTTGCATAATAGGATAATAATAGGATTTAGTTCAAAGTTCACATTTAAACATGTCCTGAATTAATAATAATACTAGAAACACATTTTTCTACAGTTCTACAGGGTGTGCACTTTGCATGAATATAACCTATTTTGTTGGGTGTGGAGGAAACAATGGTACCTCAAAAATAGCAGCCTTCGCGATTTGCTAATATAAGCTGGTGACATAGTGACAAACAGAAACGGCCATTCTACAAGTCTGTTTACAGAATGGATTCATCTACAGAGATTTTCACACATTACTATCTTTAAAAATAAAGT